TTCAAAAGACACCTGTTTTAAAAATGTGAATTTTCTGATAAGTACTTCATGTGTCAGGTTTCACAGAGTTAATCAGCTCTAATCACACCTTCATCACAGTTTTTTCATCAGCATCTTCATCATCATCAAAGTGATAATCATGATCGTTTCCTGAGAGATGTCTGAGGAAGAGACTGTAGGAGTGTGTGTGTTTGTGATGCAGCTGGAGCCTCATTTCATAGATTACTGTCAAACGCTGTCAATGCATTAACACACACACACACACGCGCACATACACACACACACACACACACACACAGCATGCATATGTCAGTGGCTGCATTATGTGTCAACAGAGAGAGAGCGCCTGGGGGTTTGTAAACATCCCACTCAACTGATCTGTGACTCATCACACACACACACACACACACACATACAGAATGCATTCAACCAGCATGAATAAACAACATCAGCATCCTGAATATCCTCAATCTCTCTTCTGCATGTATGAAATTATAGTGTGCGTTTTAATGTTCCTCTGCTCTGTGTGTGTGTGTGTGTGTGTGTGTGTGTGTGTGTGTGTGTGTGGGTGATTCATTATTTAGCAGAGGATAATATGCTCAATATAGCTCTTAACACACACACACACACACACAGCGATGTAGAGCTCCATACACTTGCATTTGATTCTGTCTCTTTCAGTTGAGCTCATTCCGTAAACAGGAAGTAGCTCTCTGAGGTTTTTGAGCAGACACACCTGCCGCAGGTGAAGCAGGTGATGGTTCATACCAGGCGGATATGATCAAATCAACTCAGCTTTATTTAAACAGCACTTTAAACACAATGCAGTTGATCCAGAATGCTTTAGAACACAGAAAAAAAGGGACTCAGCCCGTCTGTGCCCGTGGTCACATGACGAGGTCAGACACAGTTTAAAGCCTTTTAAGTTGTTTCCAAAAGTCATCAATAGACTGAGATAATCGAATAGAAAGAGGAAGGGAGTAGCATTTGGGGGCAAGTAGTGAGATGCAGCAGGGGACAGGATGCTACTTCAACTACATGGTCTAATACTCAAATACTGTACTTAACCTTTTTACGCAGGTGGAGGAGTTGATGCTCATCTCCACAGGTGAACATACATCCTGTCAGGAGGAGAAGCTCAGTGAGCTCTCTACCAGGCCAGAGACAGAAAGTGAACCTGTCAAGTCTCTGTCAGAACAGGTGTTCGGAGTTTGTATTATACTTTCTAACCAAGCTCCAGAAGAAACTGAGTGAGTAGTTGAAGCAACAAAGAAGAGACATCCATCAGCTGAAAAGGTGAGAGAGGATCCAGAGCTGAGGTCTGAGTCTTCATGTTCCTGCCTGTGTCAGTGTCAGTTTCCTCCCTCACTCAGGTGAATTGGACTCTCTAAACTTCCTCCAATTAGTTATCATTCAAGCCCCATCCAGTCTAAAGGTCTCTGTCCATGTGTAGTGTGATTATAGATCAGGTCTAGCTTCTATATTAATACTGTGAAAGTATCAAAGCCTCAGTCCACAGAGAAATGCACACAGCCTGTGTTTCTGCCAGAAACTGAGCCTTAAAACCAGCCGTCAGGACTTCTGGAACTTTGTGATGTCACAACAAAGCAGTCACCAAGCCCCGCCCACCTGGACCCACCATCCAAACCTTGCAGGATTTGGTTTCTCTGAGTGATTTTACCTGAAATCTGATATATTTTTATTGGCTCACTCAGAAAACAGTGAGCCAATCAGAAGAGAGTATCAGAGCCTCCTCTCTTCTGATTGGCTCACCGACCTGTTGTTACTAGAGCTGCAGAGAGAAGCCTGAGAGAGGAGATGTAAAACTACACTGAGATGGTCTTTGGTTCTTAAAACCACAAATATATCTTCTTATGGATCAACACTTCAAATAAAACACAGAAGAAGAAGAAAATATGGACATTTAAATAAAAGGAAATAAAAACATTTCAAAATAAAAGTGTAGCTGTATTTTGTAGAAAAACCACATAAACCTAAATGAAATAAAAACCTAAAAATACTCACAATATAATGTAGCCACTATATTATCCATTTTATTTGGCTGTCATAATTTATAATAAAAATCCCAAGATGTGAGGTCACATTTTGTGGTCAAAAGGACACAACAAATGAATTTAAACTTCCTCCGATGAAAATCAAGTGTTTAACAATGTTGACATCTGTATGTTATTATAATAATATATAATAATGATAATAGCAAACTGAGAAATTGATTTATTGAGCACAGAATAGATTTTAGTTTGCCCAGGTTAGGATATTATTTGCTCAAAAATATTTTTTCTTCAAATGTAATTTGTGTATTTGCAAAATGTATTTGTCTGTGCACAAAAAGTCCCACTGTGGCTCAGGAATGAGGCACAAAATAATTACTTTTACAGTAATTACTATAAATGTTTGCTTAGAATATAAACTACAATCATGGTTTCCCTTTTACTGATATTCAGTTTGTGATATGCAAATGTTTGTGTTTGTCTATTTTACATTCAGGCCAGTAAATGTCACACTGTTCACATGAAGCATCGAGAAATGAACATTTTCTCGAACCACTTTGCTGAGAAAGTAAATTCAAAGCCTCCGAAAAGTTTCTGCATTTGTTTGTTCCCCACTTTACTTTTCTTCTGCTGTTATTCACATTATTCTGGCAAAGACTCGGCCGGGTCTGGGCCCAGAGATCCGGCTGAAGTGCGGTCCGCCTGGTGCAACAACCCACAACCAGGCCTGAAGCAAGCCACCTGTGCTGGACGGCCATTACTGTTCTGGCGGTGAGCCTGAATGGCATTTGTTAATTTCTTGTTATTTTCCCCATGTCAGCCCTTCACTTAGATGCAGGATGGAATCAGATTATATAACATGCTGTTTTATTAAAAGACACATTTACACAACACAAGTACTCACAAGCAATTTTGACTAAATGACAGGCTTAAATGTCGCATGTGTTTCTCCTGGGCCCACGGACAGTTCAGTCTGAATTATCTGTCCTCAAGATGGAAATCAGAGAGAATCCATAGATTAGCACAAGGGGCACTGACTCTGAAGAATCAACAGATGTGATCTCCAGTAAAATATTGATTAAATGTCAGAAGTGACAAATGAAAACGTGGAATGCAGGAATTGCATTTCTCTTTTTAATTAAGTCAGGCTACTGAAGTTATATAGCTAAAAATAATAGTAATAATAAAAATAATAATAATAATAATAACTTAGATTTTTATAACGACTTTCAAGGTACCCAAGGCGCTTTACAGAGTAATAAACACAAAGTAAATAAATAAAACAAATAAATGAAAACAAGACAAGACAGAATAAGCTGAAATGATTTTGAGCCACTAAGTTCTCTCACTAACCCCATAATCTACAGGAGCTGTGTAGAGTTCCTCCTAACAGCTCTCATCCAGATGATGAATTGGATATAAAGCTTAAAATGTGAAACACTCATTTTAGTGTAAGAAATAACACAAACATTTTATAGCCTCACATCGTCAGAGCCCCATTCATTGTTCTAGAACAAACTGGGATGACATTGCATATTTTAAGGTTCTTCCTTTGGTTTCTTCTTTAGAGGATATAAATATTCACCAGTTTGTTCTGGGGCACAGGAATAAGAAATGTGAATTCTTAAAAAAAGGGTTGGATTCTCCTTTAAATGCACAATCCATGATTATGTTATAGTGTTTCCTCAAAGCATCTGGAAAAACAAACATGTTAAATGATAAATATTAAAGTAATTATAGAAGCCTATTGGGGGATATTAAGATAATCATGTTGAAAATGAAAATGTAAATCCATGATAGCAATGTCATTTTTCACACGTGTTCTAGGATTACACTGGACTTAACTTGATGACTACGAGCGGAGCAGCAGACGCAGTCAGCACGACATCCACGGACAGATGAGAGGAGCTGAGAGAGTGAAAGAAGAAGAAAAGAGGAGGGAACGTGAACAGAGTGATCCAGAGTAGATCAAATAAAATACTGTCTGATAATATAACAGTATATGTCCATGTTGTTTATCCTATGATGCTATTCTTTAAAGAAATGTAATATCATTAGAGTAAATGTTCTTCTGTGATATTCAGTTCAGAGTCGAGAAGACATTTACTTGGCCTTGTTGTGGATCAGTTAGAGCAGCGCATATTATTATGGTCTGGATTTAAATGTAGATTTGTCGTCTCAACATTAAATCTGTGAACTCTGCTCCAGCATAGTGTGACGAAAATAGGTGTCAAGATTAGTGATGCTGTTTACGCCAAATTCATTCCCCACATATGTCATGTGAATTCAAAATAGTCACATCAAACAATCTTTGCCTCTTTTTATGTGGCAGTAGTGAAAATTAGTCTTTGTCAAAATCTGTTGTGTTGTGGTTTCAGAATGATGGAGACAGAGGAGGCTCTGGATGATTTTTTTTCCAGGGCAACTTTCATCTTTTTCCCAAATGATGTTCAAATGTCTTGATACAGTAAACAGCATGTAGCTGCTGTGAATGGGGAAAATAATTCCCAGGGGAGCATGTCCCCTGAATATGGCAGTGGTGGTGGGCAGGGCTTAAGGCCTGATCCACAATTTAAATCATGTCTGGAGAGGAACTTTAAAAAAAAAAAAAAAAAAAATTAGCAATTTGAATATGTCAACAAAGAGGAATTTGATGACTTAGGCCCATGAAAATTTAATAACAAATACCTTAAACATAGATAAATCTATTAGATTTTTTTTTTTTTTTAGGGAAAAGGAAACGGATGCTGTGGATGGATTAGAAATAAAGGGATGGAGTAAAATGATAAATAAAAAAAGTAAAATTTAAATAAATTTAAAAAAATACTAAATTAGAGTACAGTAGAGTACAGTACTTTCCATCACGTTTGGTATTGGACATTCAGAGAAAAAAAGTGTTAAAAATCAAACAAACAGCCCAAACTCTGACCTTTGACCCCGCAGCGTCCAGTCCCGCTAACCCCGCCCCTCTGCGGAGAGAACGGGAGCTCCATTCAAACACACCAAACTCCGCGCCCCGGGATGCGACAGTCGCTGTAGAAGGAGAGAAGGCGGCAGCAGCAGCAGAACCAGAACCAGAACCACACATTTTACCTCAGAAACCCCGACCAGCAGGAGGGTGAAACAGCCAGCAAGAGACACAGTAGTCCGTCAGCCCGCAGCCGGAACACACTCACTGAGCGCAGTCTGCTAGCAGGAGGCTAACGGCTAACACCGACATGGCGAGCGCCTCATACCACATCTCCAACCTGCTGGAGAAAATGACCTCCAGCGACAAGGATTTCAGGTAAAATAAAACTGCAGTAGAGTAAAGTAACAGCCCGGCTCACGTTAATATAGCTCCAACTGTTTTTATGAAGTGTTAAAAACAGTGGCTAGCGCTGTCAGGCCTCATGCTAACAGCTAGCCTGCCACCTGTCTGATCATCGTCACACCGCTAACCAGCTAATTAGTGGTTAACGTTTGCTTTAAACTCGACGACAGCGTTAGTAACCGGCTAGTAACGACGCTACACCTGCAGGTGAGTTGCAGGGAAACGTCGCCAGTGAGCGGTTAGCTTGCGTGTTAGCTGGTTAGCTCTAACTTCTGTCATGCCGCAAGCTAGCGTGATGTCAGCTAACGTCTGAATGTTTACGGTGTCTGCCGGCTATAGGCATTAACACGCCAAATTAGCATGACAGCTAACTGCCTCTCACGCCAACAATGATGTGGTTTGTGGTGGTGTTTCTGCTCACTACTGACATGGTGTTATTTTTTTTTTTTGGAGGGGGCAGAGTGGGTTGGTTCTTTAGAGGGGGGGGGGGACAACAGGTAAACAGACAGGAGCAGGTCAGTGCTGCAGACCATCACTCAATGTAAACAGCATGAATTCAAACAAAATGTGAGGTGTAATTTAAAGTGAGGGGTGCATTTAGATTAAAGTAATGAAATGTAAATAAGGTTGGGGGTGAATGACCTACCAGCTAATGTGACTCATGACAAATCCCTAGCTTTTGAAGCAATCAAGATTTGATTCAGAATTTATTATTGATTTAAAACAAACAGCATGTCATTAAAAAGAAAGAAGGGGAAGGTGTACACTCAGTTGCAACTTTAGTAGGAACACCAAGATATAATTAATGCAACAGTCCTTGAGTAACTCCTCTGTCATGAATGTTGTAATGTTCAGTTTGTGTTAAAGGTGGATGATTATGGAGGATGTAGTTTGTGTTGCTGTTGAACTGTATTGCTTGATGTTGACCAGTGTTCCTATTATTTTATCCACCCCATTCACATCAATTAGAGTAGGTTGAACATCAGACACTCCTCTGTGTGTAATGCCATGAACCACCACAAACTGTAGCTTCCTAAATCACCATTAAGTTGAATTACCACCTTGTGTCACTTTGTTCTGTGGGGAGTTATGATGGGCATTTCTCAATATTTACTTTCATTAATAAACGGAATTAATAATTGATTATCAGATCAATTGACCTTTTCATAATGCCCATTAAACAATCCCCTACTAATGCATTTCCAGTCTAAGTAATGGGGGACAAAAGCCACAGTCCTTTATCTGAAGCATCAGCCATCCAGATGAGTTTAATCCAGTGGATCACCATCAAAGTTAAAGCCTGTTTAATATGAAAGTTCCTCTGTTTGTTGCAGCTCAGCATGGAAACACAAAAACTGTCGTTTTGACAAAACTTAGACAACTGAAGCTTCATAAAAGCTTTGAATTGATTTGGAATGAAAGGACTGTGGATTTTGTATCTCCATCACTTACTCTTTATAGAGATAAGTCTTTTAATGTCCAGTATAAACAGGAGAAATGATAACCATCACTGTTTATATGGCCCCTGACTATTGTTTTAAAACACACTTGTGAATCTGTCCTCAAAGTTACTTTTTCAATTCATTTGTCAGAGTTAACTGCACTAACTTTAAGGCACTGTACAAACTTCCTGTATGAAAATAATAGCGCTGTCGGATATGCACAAAAAATCATATTGGGATTATTTTAGCAGATATTGCTCCTGTGATTTGGATATTGGAGTTGGCCATTTTGTGACTTTGATTATATTTCAATTAATTGTGGAGCCCTAGAAAATAATTAAACAAAAGTGCAACTTCACTTATTAGATGTTTTTTTTTTTCTTTTAAATAAAAACAGGAGTAGGTTTGTGTCCGTCCTGGATTAAAGGGGAAATAAAGCCGAGCTCCGGCAGCATCAGCACCACCGTTGTCGTATCTCAGTACAGGTGCAGGTGCTTTTTGAAAGAAACTGGACTTAATTGGAGTTATTTTCTCGTGGTTGAAGTTTTTTCAAAGTGCTGCAGTATGTGTTGTTCAGCCCGTCTTGTTTGTTAGTGATAGAGTTCACTGCTCTGCTCCATGAACGTCTGTCGGTGACGTGGTACGAAATATTAACAGAATTCTTCTCCTTTGTCTCGCAAATCCAATTATTGAGTCATTAAATCTAAAAAGGAGCCAAATTCTTTCCTGTTTTGTAGATAGACTGTTTCATAACCTCTACAGTGTGCTGCACTCTGCCTCACAATTGAGTTCTACCTTTTTGGCTCCATTAACAAAATGTTATTAACTGATGTTATTCCAGAAATAGATTTTTACTATTTCTGAGTCGATGTGAAATGGTAGAAGATACGAAATATGATTCATCTGTGAATATTTCCTTTTTTTGTCACTCACCTCTGCTTGGTGTACATGAGGTTGGTTTGATAGTATTTTATGTAATTTGAGTCTTTTTGAATCTAGTATTGAATCTATCACGTTTAGCTTTGATGATTTATCAATAACTAAAGTCATGAATAAGAAGAAGTGACAGATTCAGCTCAGAGAGGAGATCAGCTGTCGTCGAAGCCAGAGAACTAAAGCTGTGAAATGAATCAACATTAACAGTAATGAGGTTAGCTTCAGCAGAAGATCTGAAATGTTGATTATTGATTGATATTGATTGTTATAACACAGTGAAGTAACAGCTGGAACAAATCATGCAAGGTGCACAGCGATGGCTCATGTATGTGCGGCATGGAGATGAATGTAGATCGGAGGGTGTGGTGATTGATAGATACACTGTCAGCCAATCACGTCACTCTGAAACTGCTCAGCCAATCACAGTGAAGCACAGTGATCACTTCTTAAACCGCAACAGAGTTTGTTTCATAATGTTTTTCAAGCATAAAACAATAACTATTTTTTTTTTAATTATTAATTGAAAATGAGGCTCTGATGAAACAGACTTAATGAGCTCTGGTGAGCAAACGTCTCCTGAGTTAAAACTGCTGTTAAATCAGTTTTATTGAAACATTTTTGTCTCTGTCTTCAGTTTATTCTCTGATCCTGAAACTATTAGCAGATTAATCGATTAGTTGATCGACATTAAATTAATCTTATCTATGAATCATTTATATTTTATGTAATTTTTAAACAAACATGTTGTTTCCAGTTATTTTGTGACAGTAAACTGGATGTTTTTGTCTTTCAGACAAAACAAAACATGAAAAGCATTTTTCAGTTTTCAGGACAAAACAGTAATTGACTGAAGTTGGAAATAATCAACAGGAAGTAGAAGCTCATTTTTGGTCTGAGCTTGTTAGTTATGACACTGGTATAATCACATTAAATATCAAATAGCTCATTAAGAGTTATTTTCATTATTGATGAATCTGTCAGTTATTTTCTTGATAAATAGAATCTTAATTGTTTTGTCGATGAAATGTCAGAAAAAACTGTCACTGTTTCTCTTCACATCGTTTGATTTGACCAAACCAATAAAACTAAAATCACATTATGTTTAATTTAATATCATATAAGATAAAAGCAGGATAAGTAGCATATCTTCATAGACATAAAGAAAACATGGATTCATTTCAACCTGAAACAACAACAGAGACAAAATAAACCTTCTCCTGTGTCTTTAAATTAAAGTGTTTTTACACCTATTTTTATGAACTGATCCAAACTGAACTGAACAAACTGGAAACTGGATTTTTTTTTTGCCATTTTAATATTTTAAACAAGTAATCACTGATCAGAATCAAAAATAGCGCTGCAGCTGCATTAAGATTGCTGTTTGTTCTGCCAACATTTCATCAATGAAAGGAATTAATTGTTTGGTTTGTAAAAAAACAGAACGTCACATTTCGTCCAACCATCAGTTCAAAACCCCAAAAACATTCAGTTCATTATCGTGAGACCAAGAAGAGCAGCAAATGAAAAATGACTGAAATGATTATTGGATTTTCAGAATAGTTTCTAACTAATTAACAATTAATCAAATTGATCATTGCAGCTGTGGATTTTTAAAACATACATTCGAATCATCATGTAATACATTCATGTAGGAAATGACCCGTAATCAGTGTGGTGATGATGATTTGACCGTACTGCCTAATATATAAAATAATAATGTGTATTAGTGACATGTTGAAACTGAAGGAGCGAACGGTTCAGTCCTTTCCAAAAAAAAAACTCATTTAACAGACGAGTTTCAGCCTCCAGTCGAAACTGCTCGAGGACGTTGGCAGCACAACTAATCACTTCATCACTCCTGACAGCAGCAGCCACCCCCCCCCCCCCCCCCCCCCCCCCCCCCCCCCCCCCCCCCCCCTCCTCTCTCCTCTCTCCTCTCTCTACAAGAAACCCGTGAAATCGTGAGACTCGTCGGGATCCGGCCTCGTCGCTGTGTTAAAAAAAAAAAATTTTTTTTGCCGCTGACCCTGAACGAGCGAGGGCTGAAAGAGTCGTTTCAATCCTGATCTGAGAGCTTCTGTATCTGCAGAGACATAATTACACTTTCTGTTTAGGTGACGCCGTCTCCGCTGCGGAGTTCACAGCAGATTTCCTCAGTGCGGAGCTATTCAGCTGTCAAACACATCCAACTGCTTCTCAGTTCATTTTAATGTGGGTCTGTGCAGCTGCAGCTTCAGAGGATTGGACATGGTGTCAGCAGATAAAACTCAGAATTAAAGCTGCAGAAATCAGATCAGGGTGGAGGTTAAAGAAGTCACTCTCAGTGTTTTTACCATCCTCTGACCCTCACAGGCCACAGACGCACCACTACGTTTTCATTTTTAAAACAGCCATTCAGACCAGCACCTGAAAACACACACACACCTGAGCAATTATACACTGAGCATGTGCGAGCCGGTGTAAACAGGAAGCAGATTGTCTTCTCTGAAGTTGATTAGTTGCAAAAAACATTAAATCTGTTTACAGATACAGTGAGAACAGTTCGTGTTGTTGTTTTTTGTTTTTTATTATCGAAACTAAAAACATAACGGTTCATTTTTGTTTTTCAGTTTTTTACTATTAAAACAAAAACAGATGGCGGTTTGTTTGTCGCTTTTTGTTTCCCTGTTTCTACATAGTAATCAGGAAAGAGGCTGTTTAGGATTTTGGTTTTCTCATTTCAAACCGAATCTTTATTGGCCGCCAAGTAAACGGGCCTAGCAGCCGTGCCTCTGAAGTGGAGTCGTGCTTTAGCCTCGTGCTCAGGCCTCCAGGCTCCAACAGGCTCCGCCCATCAGAGGCATCAGATGGCGAAGGTCAATCTGTAGTTTTATTTGTGCTCTGGACGTTAACGTGATGGTTCAGGTTCCCAGTTTAAAATGTCAACAGAAAAAAATGTGTTTCAGTTTAAGTGTTCGCTTTATTTTGAAAATGTTCAACACTTTATCTGCCGTCAAACACGCCTTTACTTTGGAACTACTTTTTTTCAACCGTTGATGAACCGTATCCCTACGCACAAATGCACTGGACTCTGTCATGGCGGTAAAACGTCCTTGTTCAGCTCCATGTAAACAGATCTGGTTCAGTGTCAGTACTCAGACTATGTGTGACTCTTTGTTTCTAATTGATCGATTTGATTGATCACCATCCGAGTTTGATCAAGTTCAAACAATAAACTTTTATTTCTCTCTGCAGGTTTATGGCCACGAACGACCTGATGACAGAGCTACAGAAAGACTCAATCAAACTGGACGACGACAGCGAGAGGAAGGTTGGTTCATACTGGTTTACCAAAGATGAGTGTTTATGAAGTTTAAACTGGTTTATGAAGTTTAAGCTGTTTGTACCTGGGAATTGATTGATCGATTGATGATTGATTGACAGGTGGTGAGGATGATTCTCAAACTGTTGGAAGACAAGAATGGAGAAGTTCAGAATCTGGCTGTCAAATGGTAAAAAAAACACATTAGAAAATTCACGTCTGTTAGGTGTGTTTGTTTTGTCTTAATCTGTTTTTAATGATCTGTTAATCAATAGTTTTTCAAATTCTATTTCTGTTTTAAGTTTAAGTGTCTTGATTTTTTTATTTATTTATTTTTTTCAAAATAACTTTTATTTCCTGGGCTGCTGTTTCGTAGTTCCTGTTTTCGTTCTCATGCTGTTTTCAAACTGTGGGTGCGTTTGTTTCGTCAGCCTGGGGCCCCTGGTCAGTAAGGTGAAGGAGTACCAGGTGGAGACGATCGTGGACACGCTGTGCACCAACATGTTGTCGGACAAAGAACAACTCAGAGACATTTCCTCCATCGGACTGAAGACTGTGATCGGAGAGTTACCGCCCGCCTCCAGTGGTAAATACTGCTAATACTGTAATACCTGTGTACTACACACACGACTGATGGTACAAATACTACAAGTACTGCAGTTAGGGCTGTTACATTTAGCACTGCCACCTTCTTCTACTGCTATAAATACTACAAATACTTCTGATACTGTGATCACTGTTGTATTAGTACCAGTTCATGTTCAGATAGATACAAATACTGCTGATAGTAAATATGTTACTGTAGTTACTACAAGTATTTACAGTTACTACAAGTATTTGTCAAGCTGTGAGTTTACATCAGCAACTAGTAACTGAGCTTCTGTGTCTCCTCGTCTTCTTCTGTCTACCTGTCTCCCTCTCTCTCTGTGTCCGTCTCTCTCCACCTGTCTCTCTCTCAGGCTCTGCTTTAGCCGCCAGTGTTTGTAAGAAGATAACGGGTCGTCTCACGAGCGCCATCGCCAAACAGGAGGACGTCTCTGTGCAGCTGGAGGCGCTCGACATCATGGCCGACATGCTCTGCAGGTAAAGCGTCTGTCTGTCTGTCTGTCTGTCTGTTCTTGTAATCTGGTCTTGAACTAAAATCATCTTACCTGTCTGTCTCTCTGTGTGTTTGCAGACAGGGAGGTCTGCTGGTGAATTTCCACCCCTCCATCCTCAGCTGTCTCCTCCCCCAGCTCACGTCCCCCAGACTGGCTGTCAGAAAGGTGCGTCTCACCCTGTAACCCTCGCCTGTCCAGATTCACCTGTGACAGGTGTGCAGTCGTTCACAGCTGTTGCTCTGTGCTGTTTTTCAGAGGACCATCATGGCTCTGGGACACCTGGTGATGTCCTGTGGGAACCTGGTCTTCATCGACCTCATCGAACACCTGCTGACGGAGCTGGGGAGGAACGACAATATGTCCACCACCAGGACCTACATCCAGTGCACGGCGGCCATCAGCAGACAGGCCGGACACAGGATCGGTGAGACGGGGAGGAGACCGTTAATGCGGCGTCCATCTTTGTTTACGGTGCGTCTGTAACGTCTCTGTCCGTCTCTGTCCCTCCGTCCTCAGGAGAGTATCTGGAGAAAATCATTCCTCTGGTGGTGAAGTTCTGCAACGTGGACGATGACGAGCTCAGAGAGTACTGCATCCAGGCCTTCGAGTCCTTCGTCAGGAGGTAACACACACACACACACACACACACACACACACACACACACACACACACACACACTCTAACGTCTATCACAGCTGTAGTAGTTGTTGTTGTTGTTGTTTGATTGTGTGTTTGTGGTTGAAGGTGTCCTAAAGAAGTCTACCCCCACGTTCCCACCGTCATCTCCATCTGTCTGCGTTACCTGACCTACGACCCCAACTACAACTTCGACGATGAAGACGAGGACGACAACGCCATGGACGCAGAGCAGAACGACGAAGACTACCAAGGTACTGAGAGACGCCACTGTGATCCAGACTGAAATATCTGGACCATTATTTAATGGATTGATATGAAATGTTTTTTTTATTGATCAGTTGATTGTGTTTTCCTTTTGAGAAGAAGTTTAACTGGAAAAATGAATCGATCATCAAAATAATTGGGAATTCATTTTCTGTCGATCGATTTATCAGCTTATTGTTTCTGTTGTGAGAGAATGTAAATGTTGATCCTCAAGGATTTAGCTGAACATTGGCAGCTGTTGGTTTAGTGTCTCTGGGTGTACTGGTGCATTGTGGGTAATGTTTATGTTAAAACCGGATCTTCACGTGATTTTAGCTTCGATTTTCTTTTTGTCCAAATTTAATCTGAAGAAGAAGATGAAGGATTATAATAACGACGCTCTCTCTCTCTCTCTCTCTTTCTCTCTCTTTCTCTCTCGGTCTCTCTCTCTCTCTGTCTCTGTCTCTCTGTCTCTCTCTCTCTGTCTCTCTCTCTGTGTCTGTGTCTCCGTCCCTCTGTCTGTCCAGGCAGTGATGATGAGTACAGCGATGACGACGACATGAGCTGGAAGGTTCGGCGGGCGGCGGCAAAGTGTTTGGACGCCGTTGTGTCGACACGTCACGAGATGCTGCCGGAGTTTTACCGCTCAGTCTCTCCTGCACTCGTCTGTCGCTTCAAGGTACGACACGCCTCCATCACTCCATCATGTCTTTACTATTGATCGACCTAATCCCGACCCGACGACCTGACGTATGACATCACCACCCGTGTGTCTCCAGGAGCGGGAGGAGAACGTGAAGGCGGACGTTTTCCACGCCTACCTGTCGCTGCTCAAACAGACCAGACCGGCTCAGAGCTGGTTGGCCGATCCAGACGCCATGGAGCAGGGAGACACGCCGCTGACGATGCTGCAGAGCCAGGTGACATCACGACCTCTGACGTCTATCAATTAGTTAAATCACCAGAACAATAATCAGCAGCAACTTTGATTATAGATTATTGATTTCATTTAATGAGCAAAAAGATTCGGAAATGTGCAGATTTACCTGCTTCTGTTTGTTTTCCATCAGTGAGCTGAATATGTTTTCTCTGACAGACTAATTGATTAATCAATTACTTTGTTCATTACTTAATTCATCAATAATGAAAACGATCGTTAGATGTAAAATTTGTAACTTTCTGTGCTCATGTCTTTGTTTGGTGAAATCACTTTGCAATAGTTGTTTATAGGTTGTTTGTTAATGTTCGAGCTGAAACAATGACTTGATTAATTGATCATTTATATCATCGTCATTTTTTAAAGCAAAAAATCACTAATTGCTTTTCAGGTTTGAATATTTGTGTCTGTTGGTCGGGAACAAACCATCTGAAGATCAGTGTGGATCTTTTTATTTTCTTCACTTTATAGAGAAAATAAACTGATAAAATTACTGGTAGATTAATTGATCATGAAAATAAGGAATATTTTTAGGAGTTGAATCAAACTGGATTCTGTAATAAATATTAATACAGCAGATGGCGCTGTTGCTGTGGTCTGGTTGTTGTGACGCAGACAGGAAACCCTGAGCATCCTGCACCATCCACCACAGACAACAACAAGTCTCTCTCTCTCTCTCTCTCTCTCTCTCTCTCTCTCTCTCTCTCTCACCCTGTCTCTGTGAATGTCTCTCTTCTGCTGCAGGTTCCCATGATCGTCAAAGCTCTTCACAAGCAGCTGAAGGAGAAAAGTGTGAAAACTCGTCAGTGTTGTTTCAACATGTTGACGGAGCTGGTGAACGTCCTGCCCGGAGCACTGACTCAGCACATCCCAGTACTAATACCTGGTAATGCGACAAATACTACAGTGCTACAAATACCACGGCTACTGTAGTGTTATTGTATTATTATAATTAAACTTTCAGCAGCTGTGGAATCAGTGAGTTTCTCACCTGATTTGACGACTTTTAAGACTCGTGGTCTCGTCTCCTCTGAGGAGAATCTGTTAGATTTAGATTTCTGTTCATAACTTCAGTTCCTTCATGGAAAGTTTTTAACATCAGAGGTAGATTTAGAAGCAACAATGATGTGACGATAACAGATTAAAAAATGAAGTGAAGTTTAACAAATTATTTGATCAGTTTAATGTTCTAATGTAGATGGTTTGAAAAGTTTTTATTTATAGATGAACTTGAGTGAAAACTTAAATCAGAAGTAGAATCAGTATCTGCCTTTAAAGCAGCTCCAGTTCTCCTCGGTTCTTCAGGTTCTTGGCAGATAGGTTGTTCCACCATCTTGGAGAACCTCTTTAGATTCAGACTGACTCTGATTGAATCTGAATCTGGACCAATCAGATGCCTCCTGATGATGTCATGTGACGGATGAGAGTCTGAGCATCTTGACACAATTATGTGTTTAATCTATAATTGACTTGATGTAAATAGTTATTTGCTGATGTCATGGATATGTAAATGAGTGGGCGGGGCCTCAGTGTCAGTTATAATCAGTGTCTTTGTTCTTCAGGCATCATCTTCTCTCTGAACGATAAGTCGAGCAGCTCCAACCTGAAGATCGACGCCTTGGCCTGCCTCCACGTCATCATGGTCACGCATCCCGCTCACGCCTTCCACGCCCACGTCCCCGCCCTTGTCCCGCCTGTGGTGGCCTGCGTAGGAGACCCCTTTTACAAGATCACCTCTGAGGCTCTGCTCGTCACTCAGCAGCTCGTCAAGGTGAGAGACGAACCCACGAACGGCTTCATCACATCACACGTCACACGAAGATGATTGTAATGATTCTGTCCTCTCCAGGTGATCCGACCTCTGGACAACCTATCGGAAGGCTCGGATAGCTTCGACCCCTCCCCCTACATCAACGACCTGTTCACCTGTACGATCAAACGCCTGAAAGCCGCCGACATTGATCAGGAGGTCAAAGAGCGAGCCATCTCCTGCATGGGACAGATCATCTGTAACCTAGGTAACCACCGCCCGTCAGTCACAGCCATATGACGTCACCTGCTGATGTTTCCACTCTCTGATTGGTTCTCTTTACTTCCTGTTGTGTTGTCCAGGCGACCGGCTGCCCACCGAGCTCCCGGGAACGCTGCTGATCTTCTTAGAACGCCTCAAGAACGAGATCACGAGACTGACGACAGTGAAAGGTGCAGTGCATGCTGGGAGTCACGACTCACCGAGAAACTTAATGAGCCGTTAATGTTTCATTACGTCTGCTGGGAAAAAGTTTCATTCTTTCTTTTCATTCTTGTGAACAAAATGTCTCAGTGACGCCTCAAAGGAATTTCTTCAAATTTGGTACAAACATACACTAGGACTCAAGGATGAACTGGTCAGATTTTAGGGGTCAAAAGTCAAAGGGTTAGGGTCTTGGTGACCTCACAAAACACTGTTTTATGAACGCAATATCTAAAAGTTCTAGTTTCTGCTTTTACTTTCCAGTTTACTGTCAGGAGGTTTGAGCTTTTCAGTGTGTGTGTGTGTGTGTGTTGCAGCTTTGACGCTGATCGCTGGCTCGCCGCTGAAAATCGATCTGAGGCCGGTTCTCCCCGACGCTGTTCCTATCCTCGCTTCCTTCCTCCGCAAGAACCAGCGAGCCCTGAAACTCTGCACGCTCGCCGCTCTGGACATCCTGCTCAGAAACTACAGGTAACACACACACACACACACACACACACACCTGTAGACCACACACTCACCTTTTCCTTCTGCCCGTGACACTGCGACGTGTTTGTTTCAGCTCTGCGGTGACTCCAGTCATGGTGGACGCTGTCCTGGCCGAGCTGCCTCCCCTCATCTCGGAGAGCGACATGCATGTGTCTCAGATGGCGCTGAGCTTCCTGTCCACGCTGGCGGTGACTCACCCGTCCTCGCTGGGTCAGCTGAGCGGAGGAAACATCCTCCAGCAACTCATCGCGCTGGTTCGATCCCCGCTGCTGCAGGGCGGGGCGCTCGCCGCCATGCTGGACTTCTACCAGGTACAACAGGAAGTTTTCAGAGCGGTCTGATTCAGGTTTTAATGAACATGTGTTTCATCAGTAGTAACTTTGTGTGTGTGTGTGTGTGTGTGTGTGTGTGTGTGTGTGTGTGTGTGTGTGTGTGTGTTCAGGCTCTCGTGGCCACAGAAACTCCTGGTCTGGGCTACATGGACCTGCTGAGGATGCTGACCGGTCCGGTTTACTCCCAGAGTGCCGCTCTGCCTCACAAACAGGCGTACTGCTCCATCGCCAAGTGTGTCGCCGCTCTGACCAGAGCCTGTCCCACGGAGGGACCGGCCGTGGTGGGACAGTTCATCCAGGTGAGCTACCTGTCCCACACAGAGACGCTGCAGCTCAACGTGACTGTCCTCTGTCCTGAACAGGTTCATATAAAACTCCCGCTTTGTTTCGACAGGACGTGAAGAACAGCCGCTCCACAGACTCCATCAGGCTGCTTGCTCTGCTCTCATTGGGCGAGGTGGGACACCATGTGGACCTCAGCAGCCAACCAGAGCTGAAGACGGTCATACTGGATGCCTTCTCCTCCTCCAGTGAAGAGGTAACACCTGTCTGGGTTTGGTTTTATCGTCTCTAATGACAGATTGATCATCAAGTCGTCATTTACAGGACCATCAGTAGGTTACAGTAGGTTGTAGTAGGTTGTAACCTCTCTCTCTCTATCTCTCTCCCCCTCTCCCTCTCTCTCTCTCTCTCTCTCTCTCTCTCTCTCTCTCTCTCTCAGGTGAAGTCTGCAGCCTCCTACGCGTTGGGCAGCATCGCGGTGGGGAATCTTCCAGAGTATCTGCCCTTCGTCCTGCAGGAGATCTCGTCCTCCAAGAGACAGTATCTGCTGCTGCACTCGCTCAAAGAGATCATCAGTAAGAGCAGCACACACACACTCCCTACACCAGTCTGTGTGAGTGTGTGTGTGTGGTTTTAATCTGTGTGTGTGTGTGTTCAGGCTCGGCATCGGTGTCCGGTCTGAAGCCGTACGTGGAGTCGGTTTGGTCTCTGCTGCTCAAACACTGCGAGTGTCAGGAGGAGGGAACCAGGAACGTGGTCGCTGAGTGTCTCGGCAAACTGACGCTGATCGACCCCGAGACCCTGCTGCCCCGCCTCAAAGGATACCTGCTGTCAGGTAATCAATAATCCCTGCTGCCCCGCCTCAAAGGATACCTGCTGTCAGGTAATCAAACTGAACAATATCCTGTAAACTCTGGCTCGACTCAATAAGTATCTAAGAGTGATCAATGAATCCATAGGTACAGGGACTTGTCTGCTGTGGGATAATCAATAAGATTATCTGATAGTTGATCAGCTGATCAATTAAAAATCTCTTATAAGCCCCGCCCCCATGTTGCTCCTGACCAATCAGACTGTCTCTGTTCGACACACCTGCTGGACCTGACACCTGATGATTGATGTGGAATACTGATGTATTGATTTATTGATTTCTGATTGATTCTGTTGCAGGTTCGTCGTACGCCCGGAGCTCCGTGGTAACGGCGGTGAAGTTCACCATCTCTGACCAACCACAGCCGATCGACCCACTGCTGAAGAACTGCATAGGTAACACACACTCTCTCTCTCTCTCTCTCTCTCTCACTCACTCACTCACTCACTCACTCACACACACACACACACACACACACACACACACACACTGTCAGAGTCCTGATTGGCTGTTTTTCTCTCAGGTGATTTCCTGAAGACGCTGGAGGACCCGGACCTGAACGTGCGTCGCGTTGCCTTGGTAACGTTTAACTCCGCAGCCCACAACAAACCCAGTCTGATCCGGGAGCTGCTGGACTCGGTTCTACCACAACTGTACAACGAGACCAAAGTCCGGAAGGAGCTGATCCGAGAGGTGAGACACTGACACGAGGACGGGTGGACGGGCGGGTTGAGGTCAGGTGTGTGATGGCGTCCTCTCTGTGCAGGTGGAGATGGGTCCGTTCAAACACACGGTGGACGACGGGCTGGACCTGAGGAAGGCTGCGTTCGAGTGCATGTACACTCTGCTGGACAGCTGCTTGGACCGGCTCGACATCTTCACCTTCCTCAACCACGTCGAGGACGGACTCAAGGACCACTACGACATCAAGGTCTCAGCACAGAACCACAGAACCACAAAACTATAGAACCACAGATCCACGTCTACAGCTGGTTCAACACTGATACAGATGTTCAGATATACGTTTGTACAAAGATCGATACAGATAAAAACAATCCAGTTTCCCTCCGTCTTTCACTTCCTGTCAAGTCCGCACGACTACGTTCTCATTTTAAAACGACAAAAGAAAACAATCTCTGTCCAGATTAACACCTGAAAAGACACACATACCTACACTGTGCGAGGCGGTGTAAACAGGAAGTAAATTGTCGTGACCTAACTAATGACACAAAGGGAGGAAACGGTTAACTCGATATAGAAATTTAAAATCAACACTACAAAAGATGTAAATCACATTTACAAACAGTCTGTCAAAAAGAAAAACAAAAAACTTAACTCCTCAGATGATTTAATTTAAATGGATCCTGCCACCGTATAAGAGGTGTAGTTTTCCAGCGCCACCAGTGTCAGGAGATCCAAGCAACAACAAAACAAAAGGTAAAACTTAATTAAAGCAAATAAAGAGTGTGAACTAAAATACATGAACTCAATTTAGAAAACAAACCAGTGAAGTGAGAGCTGTGTGAAAACACTGACATACAAACATTTACAGTAATAAATCAATCAAACATCAGACACTCATTAGAGCTGTTACTGCTGCTGATTTCCCACAATGCACTGAGGTTGTCTGTGTTTTCAGATGCTGACGTTCCTGATGCTGGCCAGGCTGTCGTCCCTGTGTCCCAGTGCTGTTCTGCAGAGACTGGACAGACTGGTGGAGCCGCTGAGAGCCACGTGCACCACCAAGGTACGGCAACAACACGCTCCATCAGTGTCGCGCGTCGTCATAGGTTGTTTCCATGACAACGGGTGATGAACTCGTCCTCCTCTGTCTCCGCAGGTGAAGGCCAACTCTGTGAAGCAGGAGTTCGAGAAGCAGGACGAGCTGAAGCGGTCGGCGATGCGAGCCGTCGTCGCCCTGCTGACGATCCCCGAGGCTGAGAAGTCGCCGCTGATGTCAGAGTTCCAGTCCCAGATCTCATCCAATCAAGAGCTGGCGGCCATCTTCGACTCCATCCAGAGGGACTCCAGCTCCGCCAACATGGAGTCCATGGACACCAGCTAAAAAGATGGACAAATCAAATTCCCCACGATGCAACACGGCACCACCCCCCGCTGCTGGAGCGCTAACCCTGCAGCATGTTTCCATGACAACAGGACGCACACACACACACACACACACACACACACACACACACACACACTTGTAGTGACACACCCTCTCCTAGCGATTGATCGTTCCATGATGCATTGCACTGAAGTCAGCTGTTGGGAAAGAAAGGAAGAAGACTGATGTACGGCTCACACACACGGACAAAAAGGACAAAAACAAAGAACAAAAAAAGAAGAAAAAAGAAAAAAAAAAAGAAGAAATTCCAGAAAAATAAGTTCCATATGAGGCTTGGAAGCTCCTCCTACTTCCTGTTTGTTTTTCTAGCGAGGTCGTCTGATTGGTTGATCTCCCTGTTCATCATCATTCTTCTCTTTTTTTATTTTAATTTTTTTTGTTTTCATAATTCCAGAAAGTTCCACAGGTACTGTAACCTGATTGGCCGCTGCTGAGTGACTGACAGTTGGCGTGTTATAAAAACTGACCAATGGGGGGGGGGGAACGGCCTTTCCTGCCTGAGGCTATGGTGACCAATGGGAGAAGGGCTCGCTCTGGTTTTTTGCGAATGACGTAGGCGACCAATAGGATGCTTTGGGGGGGGTGACGGCGGGTGGGAGGGGTTTTACTGTTTGTGGACCAATCAGCTTCGTTGTTTACCCTAATTCAGTTGACCCGCCCCTTCACTCCTTAGAAAGAAGGGAGAGAGGGAGGGAGGGAGGGAGGAGGAGGGATTATTGGACCAGGTCCCATCTGACCAGACCTGACTGGACCCATGCTGATGACAATACTGTTTGGCTGTTGCCATGGTAACGCTGTACGTGCATAGTAACGATGTTTGGATCATTCCGTTTGTTCCCGTGAGTCCGGCCCCAAAACCGGCTCCAGCCAGTTGCCGTCTGGTCAGGACCAGTTGGATTCGCTGTGTCCTGGTCTGGTTGGATCCGGTTTGGTAAAAACGGGACTCGGTCTGGTTTCAGTCAGGCCTGGTCCGGACAGCCCACTGTTGTTTATCGCCCAAGAAAAATAAAAAAAGGTCCATTTCTGCCTGCCTTCATACTCCGACTGTCTCCTCTCTTATTGTGTGTGTGTGTGTTCGTCCGTCGTATTTCTAGGTTCTGTCTGGAGCTGAACTGGAACCAGAAACTCCCGGGTTCTGTTCCTGAAGTAAGGAACCTTCATTCAAAATGCCATTGACATTTGTGACGACTCTAAAAACCTGGAAATCCGCAGTGAAATCCCTCCGCTGTTGGATGATGTGATGAAATTTCTTTTGACATTCATGATCCTCAGAGGCTGAATGAGACTGACTGAAGTTTCCTACAGAGCAGAGGTTCATCAACACTCAGCAGTCGCAGCGGCCATGACAGTTTATAGAGGACATTAAGATAGTTTAAAAACTCCAGTTGGTGCAATTTGAGTCAAAAGTCACACAACTTCTCTGAATCATAACTCAGCCAAAAGTAAACACACACACATTACACACACATTCTTACATACAGTGTGACTTGCACTTCATGAAACTATCATTATATCTGATGTGCATCACGAATAAATCTCCATAAATCTGCTCAGGAAATGTAGATAAAGGACGCTACTTACAATAGAATTTGCCTGATAATCATCCTGCTTTTAAGTTAACTTCAGTATCGCCTGAATACAGTGACAGATTTTATTTTATTTATTTTGCAACAATTTAAAATATACAGTAAATGTCAAAGAAAACAAACTGCACACAGTGCAGCGAGAGGCGAAAAGAACAAATACAAAATAGACATTAGAAAACAATGTGATTAGTTACAAATGATGAGAAACTAAAATATATAAAATTAACAGCAATGATGTCAATAATATCAAAATGAGAGCAGAGAATGTGGTGTGTATGAGCAAAACAAAACTGTGATACATGGAAGAAAAAAGCAGTTAAATGGTCTTTTATGAGCTTTTGTAACATCGACAACAACAGTTCTTTGCCAAATGGAGGAATTTAATTCCATAACTTGATCGACCTGAATCTGAAAACTGAAACTCTGCAAGTCTGAATGTCAACAGGTTCATCGCAAAGAGGAAGTGCTAATCCGTCTGCTTTTTTAATGGCGACAGCTGCCAGAATATAAACAACATATATTGTGGCCTGAAGCGTTAACACTGGTCATCAAACCAGAGTCCAGGCTGAACTGAACGACGTCTCCTCTCAGTTTGCAGTAGTTGTAATATATGTTATAGCAGCAGAGGGCGCCAGACTCTGTGTATCAGTGAGGAGAGTTGGTGTCGACTGCAGCTGCAACAAAGAGACTTCACCTTCCCAGAGGGCCGCAGTTTCCACAAGTCGCCCACCTGGATTCTTCAGGGTCGGCTGAGCTTCCACCGCTGTGCTGCACTGATGTCAGATGGAAACTCTTATCTCCAGATGCCCAGGTAAAGATTAGAAGAAACCAACTTCCTGTTAGCAGGGCTAAACTCAGCTCTGATTGGCCGTGTCGATGAGGCAGAAACTCGTTAGACAGCAAACAAAGCAAATGATGCTCATTCATCTGGTCTCTTAGCAACAGGTGAACTGATGAGTTTGTAGTAGTGTGTGTGTGTGCGTGCGTGTGCGCGCGCACGCGCTGGCCAATCATTGACATGCTGATGATTATTTCCTCTTTGAAGTTCAGTAATGTATTCTGTCCTGATGGACCGATGCTGCGTTTAAAGAAAGTCTTCATGTCCCGTGACCTCTACAGGGGCAAAAGGGCCCCGGCACCTGGGGGCCAATGGACTAGAGCCGCTGTTTGAAGGGACTTGAAGTTAATATTTCTAGTTGGAAAGTCAATCGAATGGCCACAAAGAGACGCAAAAAGATAAAATGGCTACAAAGAGAAGTGGTGGTGCTGATGATGGATAAGAAAACAAACAACTAAAGTTTAACAGTAATAAAACACAACCTACCAACATAACTTACATAATTCATATAGCCTAAATGTACCACATTTATTTTAGAAATATATTTTAGATATTTAATATTTTAGATTTTTTTTATTCCTTCATTCTCGTGGACACAATATCTGAGGCGCCTTGACAGATTTGGCTCAAACATTCACTTGGACTCAAGGATGAACTGACTAGACTTTGAAGGTCAAAGTTCAAGTTCACTGTGACCTCAGAAAACACTTTTCAGCCATTACTCAAGACTTCATTCAGCAAAATTTCAACAACATTTCACACAAATGTTTATTATTTTATATAAATCTGGATAAACAGGGATGTAACCTGAAACTAGTGGTGGAGGCAGAGACCCAGGAGGCGGTAAGTATTGCTTCTAGTTAAGAAATACCAGAACTTTCACTGAAGTACACACACACACACACAAACACGCACATATATATATATACACAGAGGAAGTGTGTGTCAGTGGAAGGGAAGCTGCATGGGTGGCTCCATTCAGGCTTGGGTGTGGCTTCATAACACTGTATCTCTGGCTCTAGTAAAAACTGTATGTGTGCGTGTGTGTCTAGGCGTGTTTCCATCAACATGCTCCAACACGCTCTGCTGCTCTCTGACTGTGCAGTAACACACACACACACACACACACTTCTGTCGTTTTAAATGTTGGATTTTGTTTGGTAACCTCATTATGGTCACTTTGACCTTTGACCTCTAGTCCAGTGTGAGCTGACTGTGGGACTTTGTTAAAAGCTAACAGGAAATGAAAAAACCCATGCAATGAGCTCCATAGCCACCATGACAACACGTTATTAGGATCCCGTGACCATTTTGACACGTCTAACAATACTGTGTTGACTTGTGTACAAGTTTAATTAAAAACAGTTTAAATCATTACGTTTAAATAAAAAATCTACTTACATTTTTAAGAACACTGGGAAGCCAGGGATTAAATAAAGGCTGATTCAACTGTCTGAGGGATCATAATGTGGTGGCGTTTCTTCTTTCGTGACCTTAGCACGTTAATGAGTGTCCTGACTTTGCACAGGACTCTGAGGACAGTGGCCATGTGAGCTTGTTCCTGTCGTCTGGAAGGTCATGTGATGTTTGGAGGTGACGTCCCCAGTCAGGAAAACAAGAAAACTCTAGTTCAGTTTGCTGTTTTCACTGGAGGAAGTGTTTGTTAGCTTGTTGATGTTTTCTAAGTCCAGCAGAGCTGAGCAGCGCTGGACTGTGAGGCGATTCTGAGCTAGTGACCACATCTGGTATTGCAGGATCATGTGACGTGAACTGGACCATAAATATATACAATCGTTACAGCTGTAAAAGGATGGAGAACATTTTCTGAGCATCACAAACACAACAACATGTCCCAGTGAATTTTGTCTGTGAGCTCCAATAAAATTTGAAAATTATTCAATTAAAAATCTTTTTAAATTTAAAAATTTTTTATTTAATTATTTTCCTGCGTTAAATTTGTCCTGGGAACCAATTGGATGTCAGCTCAGCCAGAGGAACATATTGACATAATTTAGTATCATATAGTATTGTTAATATAGTATTGAATATAGAATACAAAATGGATTAATATAGACAGATCTATATTATAGAATGTACTATAATATATTGTACGTTATGAGTGTTGTATAATACATAAAAAATACAACATAATGAATATAATATGTATTGGTTGTGTAATATTTGCAAATCAGTCCATCAAACAGAAAATTAATCAGAAAAGTAAAAATCATGTATTGATGATGCTGTGTCCATTTGGTTTCTTCATTTCATCCAAATGATCAAAACTTTTGTGAGAGGCATGACGGGATTGTTTGTGATGCAGCCGGAAAGTTTCAAATTAGTGAACAGGAAAGTTTGGAAAATCATGGCATAACCAATTATGTAAATATATATATATATATATACATATATATAAATATATGTATATATATTTAACCTTGAGCCCTTGAGCAAAGTATCCATACAGGGCTGATGATGTCATAGAGCTGTGTGCAGTTAAAAGCAGTGGAAGTGACGTTATATCGTCATTTTATTCTGGTAAAACTAAAACAGTTGAAAAAAAAAACAATCTCTACTGTTTCTACTCTGCAGGAAGCGGGAAGCAGCTGAGAGCGAGGCTGAAACGTCACAAGAAAAAAAAGAACTGAGCCAATCTGTGACGAAGTTAGAGCAGAATAGGAACTAAATGTAGACTCCTGTCAGAATAAAAGCATAAAGACTAAACTGTCAGAACAGATAGTGACAGTGAAGAAAATAGCCTAGAAGGCGTTGTAAAAGTCATGACTTTACATTTTAAGGTTTATTTATTGGGTATTTATTGGGTTTTTTTTTTTACTTTTTTAATGTGCTAAATTTGTGAGGAAATGTATTTGTTTTTTTTTAAATTCTGTATCTTTCAATAGTTTAATATTTATTTTCACTTGATATATGAACAAATACTTTCATTTGATGGTATAATTGTTATTTATAGATTGCTGTAATGCCTTTATTTTGAAAAAATTATTTGAATACCTGTCAATTACAGATTTTTAATACATTTCTTGTCGCTTTACCACTGATTTCTATTTTTAACTAAGTTAGTTGTCATTTTAAGAATCATCAGTTTTGTTCGTTTTTATTTATTAATCTTACCTGTCATGAACATTTTTCATTAGGGACTTTATTCTGGAATTTCTTTTACTTTCAAACCAGTTGCAATTAGTTTTAATGTCTCTTTCCTAGAAGTGTTTTATTTTGGAAAAGAAAATTGACTACAGTAATTTAATATGAATTCATCCTTCTAATTTTGTATTTGCACATTAATACCTTTATCTAACTTATTCTTAAGATATTAAGAAAAATGTTTCTTATGTCAAGTCTTTATTTTCAGTCACAATCTTAACGCAAAGTCCATTTTGTAGCTGTTTCCAGAGCTTTCAACCACATGTCATGTTGTTTTTTATCAGTGTAATTTGTTGCTATTTCCTATTTATTAGAGTCAAGGAAAGTAACCAAGTGTATTTACTGCATAAGTACAATTTTGAGATCTTTGTACTTCACTTGAGTAGCTCCTTTTTCTGCTACTTTATACTTCTACTACACCACTTTTCAGAGACAAGGATTGTACTTTAACTCCATAATGATAATTTAATACCTTTAGTTACTTCACAGATTCAAATTAATAATACAAAATATAATCCACAAATACATTATGATGTTTTATTATAGAATAAAATAAGACTTATGAATAATTATGTAATAAACATTATTCTGAAATCAGAAATCACCCAGCAGAGTGAGTACTTTAAGTATGTATCAATGATAATATTTCACAAGATATTGGAATTTGCGTTTTCATCTTTTATGGGCTTTATTTTGAAAGAATCAACAGGAAACGCCAACGTTCAACGTGCGTGTAGCTTGACGTCAGCGCGCGGCGGCAGCAGGAGGGAGCGGCTCTGATAGAGTGACATCCACGGAGAGTGGAAGAGAGAGAGAGAGAGAGAGCGCAGCGGAGCGGACGGGTGGATGACTGTGAGTACCGCTTCCTTTCTCTCTTTTCTCTCTTTTCGCGTTTTTCCTCTCTTTTCTTTTCTTTCTTCCCTCCGTCATATAGATGTAGATTAACCGGGGGCCATACACTGACACCCAGGCGAAGGCAGACAGGCAGGGAGGGAGACAGGCCGGTGCCAAGCCGAGCTGGGCTGGGTTTGCGGAAGCGACCGACCGGCGGACAGACAGACGGGCGGGCGGGCGGACGGAACGGCAGACAGACAGGAGCTCCGTTAATAATAATAATACTGTGGATGTTTGACACGGACAGACAGCTGGGTGGCATCATGGCGGCTGTCTGTCTGTGTGTCTGTAGCGGTCCTTGCGTCTCAGCCCCTCAGCTTGTCTCCTGTCCTCCAGGCAGCGGGGCCTGCTGCCAGAGCTGGCCGGGTAGGGAGCGTTCTGAGGCAGCCACAGAGCTGCGGAACTCCCGCTGCTCTGCTGGAGAAAAACAGAGGAAGTAACTCATAACAAACTGCGGAGTTTAAGAGTTTGGAGGAACCTTTCTGTCTGTCTGTGTGTCTGTCTGTGTGTCTGTCTGTGTGCCTGTCTATGTGCAGTGTATAGACAAGGCTTGGTTTTATTCCTCTGTTGTACTGTCAGCACACACACACACACACACACACACACACACACTTGGTATTGACAGGCCCCACCTAGTTGTGGTTGACTCAGGGATCTGTCTGTGTGTGTCCATCTTTCTCCTCCAACAACTTTACTTTAGTAGATTAACATCGTGCTGCCTTCGATGCCTTTTGGTAAAAGCAGAACTACACACTGTGTGGTCATAACAGTAGCCTACAGATAAAATACAGCTTGTGTCGTGATGAGTACAGAGCTGGAGGAAGTATTCACATCTTTTATTTCAGTTAAAGGACGAACACTGTACCACATTGTGGACATGTGCTGTGGCAAGATATAGTTCTGCATCGAAAATGTAAATATAATTTGGGAAATGAAGATTATTATTAGTGATGCATTAATGTGTAGCATTTCATTGTTGTAGTTGGTTGAGACAGATTATAACTAGAAATATTTTGTATATGATTGAAACTAATGATAATTTTCATTATGGCTTTATCTGCAGATCATTTTCTTGATTAATTGAGGGATTGTTTGATTTGTAAAAATTCTGAAAATAGTTAGAAATGCTCACTAGAGCTTCAACTGAGATATATTTTTTTGATAATTGACTAATCTGCTGATAATTTTTTTGATTCATTTATTCATTGCTTAGTTTATGAAATGTCACAAATATTGATAAAATGTCCGTCACAGCTTCCCGGAGCCGAGGGTGACGTCTTCAAAACTCGTTTTTTTCCAACCAACAGTCGAAAACCCCAAAATATTCCTTTTCTAAAGACATATAACAGAGAAAAGAAGAAGCTTGAACCAGGGGATATTTTTAAAAAATTACTAAAACAGTTATCGATTATCAGAATAGTTGCAGATTATTTTTCAGTTGATCAACTGATTGGTTCAGCTCTAAAGTCCATCACAATTCTCCATAACCCAAAGTGACACCTGGTTTATGATCGTTTAGTATAAGATAAAGTGACATGAAAAGAAAAGACTCAAGTAAAGTACAAGTACCTCGAATTTGTACTTTCCTACTCTGCATTGTGGAAGCTGAAATCAGAAAACTTGGACTGTTGGACAGAACAAACACGGTGAAGATGTCACTGTGATTTCTGGGTAATGATGACGACATTTCTCAATATTTTTTAGAATTATTACAAACAAAAATAAGGAAAACAATCAGCAGATTCATCTATAATGAATCATCAGTTACAGTCCTACAAAAAAAGATAAAAACTCAATTCATGAGTAATAATAATTTAATAATATGATCTATAGAAGTAGAACAGTCACAGGGGCCATTTTGTTGCATAGAGTACTTTTACTTTTAATACTTTAGGTACATTTTCCTGATTACACTGACATACTTTTACTAAATTAACACCAGTGTTGTACAAATAACTCAAAATTGTAATAGTGATTTACATTTAGGGCTGAAACTAGTAATTATTTTCCGTTATCGATTCACCTAATGATTATTTTCTCATTTAGTTGATTGGAAAATATTGAAATGACCCTTCGTTATTTACAACGTTCAAAGCTGATATCTTCAAATTTCGTTGTTGTATCGATCAAACAGTTAGTCAGAAAAATAATTGGCAGATTAATTGACAGTGAAGGTAATCGTTACCCTTATCACCATAACGATCTGACGTTCTAACATTGACTCACCCTACAATCGATCACCGGTATCATTTATGTAGAGAAAAAATAACACCTTATTTTCTCAACCATCAAAAATGATACAGAGTGGTGGTTCTTCTTTTTGAAAACCATCTTCGTCAAAGCATAAATAGCACAGACACTGTCACACAGTGAACAAATGAACTAGGCAACAGCCAAGTTTTGTTGTTGTTGGTTGAACTCACAGCTGAGGAAACCCACAGTTCCAGTCTTCAACACTCAGAAGCTTCAGCTCGTTAACTTCTAAATTAAATTGCAGCTTGCTCTCGTGTAAATCACCATTTCGATGCAGAACTGATTAAGTGCTCAGACTTCCTTCACTGTAACTGCTCAGACTTGTCAGACATGTTTAGTGAAGATACTGCATCACGGACTATGAGGGGAGAGTGCAGATCCAAGACCTTTCAGGTAGAGACAGAGGTGTATGACACAGAGTAGAGAAAGAATGAAAGCCCTTTAGCAGATTTACTTTCCCTTCAGCAGCCTCGCCTGCTGCTGCTTCTTCAGTCAGTGACTTCCTGAGAGTCCCCGAACATGCTTGGACTTGTTGCATCACACTGAAGAGAGATGAAGTGAGGCAGGATCTGTTCAGACCTTCAGGCACTGAAATTCATCTCTGCTGAATCCTTCGCTCACGGCTGGACGGCCAAAACTCCAGATGTAAACTCCTTCCTGTTCCACTTCTTCATGCACCTTTAGCATCAGGGTTATGGTTAGATTGGGGTTATTAACTCATAAACAAAGGTGTTAATTCACTCACAACGTTTTCCTGTTGCAATCGGCCAAAGTGTCACTGAGAAATGGATTTCTTAATCTCATTATGTGAAACAGTCATTTAACATTTACCCAGTCATCTGGGTTGTGGTTGCGAGGATGTTGACAAATGGTTACTAATGTGTTACAATGTGACAACTGAGATGTAAAGATGTGTCTTCTAGGGTTTTGATAGGCAATCACTTTGTCTAGAATTTTTATTTGTTGTATCAGCACGCATTGCTGTCTAACAGTGTCTTTTTTTGATGCCACCACTGGGGGACGCCAAAGCTGGAAATGTTCAAATTCTACATAGCAGCTTTGAAGTTCGGCCCAACAAATTATAGTTACATTAAGTTTTAAAAGAAGCAGTTCAATGGAATTATTACTCAACTGAGAAACTTAATCACTCAACAGAAAGTTAATCAGCGATAATGTAGATACCTAGTTCATCATTTCAATCATTTTCAAAGTAGAATGCCAGAAGTTTGTTGGTTCTTTTTTTAACGTGAGGATTTGATTTGTTAATTTGTTTTAAATTGAATATTTGTGGCTTTTGGACTGTTTGGATGTACAAAACAATACTTTTAAAGACAATACCTTGGATTCTTCAAAGTCATCATTTTACAACGAAAAGGTTAATTGATTAATAGAGAAAATATTTGACGGATTAAACATTAACGAAAACAATCTTGAATTGCAGTTCTAGACCAGTTTGTTATTGTTGAAATATCAACCAAAATGTAATGGAGTATAAATTAAACTATAAAATGCATTTTCTGATAGAAATGTTTATGTTCTTGTTGACTAAGTTATTAGTAGTTGCTTGAATGTTTTAAGTGGCAGCTATGGTGTTACTAAGGTGTTATTATGTGATTATGAAATGTTATTAAGTGTCTGCTAGTGTGATGCTTGGTGATTGCTAAGTTGTTGCAAAGTGGCTGCAACAGTGTCTCTTGGTAGTTCTAGAATGTTCAGCGTGGTTGTTAGGGTATTGCTAGGTGGTTGCCAAGAGATTGCCAAGTTGTTGCAAAGTGGCTGCAACAGTGTCTCTTGGTAGTTCTAGAATGTTCAGAGTGGTTGTTAAGGTATTGCTAGGTGGTTGCTAAGTGAACTGTGTTATTGTGGAATATCATAACAAGCAAACCAAGAGAATAAGGCACCTACTTTGATAATCAATTAATAATTTTATAGTCATTTTTTTAAGCAAACATACCAAACAAACATTTTAAGTTCCACCTTGTCAAATATAATTTGTTACTCACCTGTAAATGTGAAGTGAACATCCTTGGCTTTGGGGTTGTTGGTCAAACAAAGCAAGACGTTTGAGTCTTCAAATGTTAGATTGTGAGAAACTGTGTTTATGGATCACTTCCTGATTTTTTATAGAAGAACAGTTATTGGATAAATCAAGAAATGAATCAGTAATGAAAATCTCTAGTGACAGTCGTAGTATATTGTATTTAATGTGAATTAATAGATCCTTAATGTCACCATCAGTTTCATGGTCAGTTGTCAGTTTATCTTCCAGCACAGGGGATTCTGGGTGAAATAACACACTGGAAATATGGTAGTTACAGAGAGATGTTACTGTTTGGTCCTGACACCACCTGTTTAACCACACACACACGCGCGCACACGCGCACACGCGCGCACACACACACACACACACACACACACTTATCTCATCACCACGGTTACCTTGGCAGACCCTTAACAGATATGAGAGGCTCCGTGTGTGTGTGTGTGTGTGTGTGTGTGTGTGTGTGTGTGTGTGTGTGTGTACTTGTACATCTATCTGTGTGTGGACTAACTTCAGTTTTCTGGGAGCTTTGGAGTGAGGACATTTTGGTCGTGACTCTGGGACAGAAACTGTCTGAGCGTTAAGGCTTTTTTTAGGGTCAGAAAGTTTCTACCTGACCTAATTCTACGTTAGAATTCTATGTTAGAGTTGGGTAGGGGTTGAGATAAGTCTCCAGAAAATGTGTGTGTGTGTGTGTGTGTGTATATGTATACTTATGTGTGTGTTTGTGTGTATGTGTGAGCATACCAGTCATGCTTCATCATGTGTTGTTGCAGCAACAAGAAGCAACATGACGGAGACAACACACACAAATGTTTGTACTTCTATCGTAGTGAGGACCGTTGTTGATGTAATGCATTCCTCAGCCCCTCACCTTAACTTTAACCAGGACTAAACGCCTAACCCTAACCTGTACCTTGACCATGACCAGTTAACACCTCACCACTAACCCTAACCCGGAACTCAGAAGTGACCTTTAACCTCATTGGTCCGGGCTCTGGTCCCCATGAGGACCCCTGGTCTTGAGGTCAGTGTTTACACTGGGACAGGTCCCAAAGAGGAAATAAAGACGTGTACATAGCAACGGTAACTAAGAGGGATTCCACAGTTGTGACATCACCACCAGCTGTGTGTGATCACATGACCTCCTTGTTTTCATTAACTCACCCAGATGCATGCTGGGTAATTATTACCTCCCAGTGAAAGGGAGGAAATCTTGGTTTGTGTGTGCGTGTAATTGATAGTTTCACAACTCCAGGTGCATTGCAGTGGGAGGCGGGGCTTACTGTAATGCTGCTATCTGTTTGGCTGTGGGAAGTGATGCCCCGGAGTGAAATTAGTAACCTGGTAACCTCTCTCTCTCTCTCTGTCTCTCTCTCTCTCTCTCTCTGTCTCTCTCTCTCTCTCTCTCTCTGTGTGTTTCTCGGTGTCTCTCGCCCAGCAGACAGACAGTCAGAATGCGTGAATACAAACTGGTTGTTTTAGGATCAGGAGGAGTCGGCAAGTCAGCTCTGGTGAGTAACTTAATCCACTTTACGTCTCCACTCAGCACAAGTCTGAGGTCATTCTATATTTTTCACACTGTTTTGTTTTTTTTGTTGTTTTTTTTTTACTGCATGAAACAGTTTAATTCCAATTATTATTTGAAGCAGTATTTGTAATGGATCAGTGTGGTGTTTAAACAAATTAGTTAATCTTCAGAGTTTAACAGACTCTCTGAAATGTGGTAATTTGAAGTTGTTTTTTTGAATTTTTTTTACTGTAGAGAATACAATTATCAAGGAAAATCAAAAGAGCAGACTATATAACAGAAGAACAACATTAGCAAAAAGAGAATTTTTATTGTAAATTATTTATATTTATTTATATTTATTTTATATATCAATTATAAATTAATTATGACTTTTATATATAACAATATATAAAAGCAAGCATTATATATATCCTGATGTATCATATTCCTTTGTGCCATTGAGCCTCTCTGTTGCACTGGGTATTTAACATTAAATAAATAAGGGAATAAAACAGTAAGTTATAAATAATCATATGAATACATACTGATACATTCTATATGATACAGTACAGTATATTCACTCCAGACCGACTTTTTTAATTTAGTCCAACTTAAACAATGATTTATTTTTTGCAACAGTGGAAAATTTTGCCCTGAATTTCTCTGAAAATTGATAAAAACTGATGTCAGTCCTTTTTCAGTCCTTCCGTTCAACACACACACACACACACACACACACACACACACACACACACACACACACACACACACTGGTGTAACCGTCACTACAATGAAGTGCTTTACTCCAGATGATATAATGGAGATGTGTCAGTGTGTCACATTAATTCCAATCGAATGACTTCCAATACAGAAGAGAACAGAGCTCCATTAACACTCCTGCCCTACTTCTCTCTCTCTCTCTCTCTCTCTCTCTCTCTCTCTCTCTCTCTCTGTCTCCAGACTGTCCAGTTCGTTCAGGGAATCTTTGTGGAGAAATACGACCCAACGATAGAGGATTCCTACAGGAAGGTAAGACAGCTTCCATCCGTCTGTCTCTCCGCTCTGTGTCATGTCTCTACATATATATATATATATATATATATATATATATATATGCTCCACCTGGAAGTGATGTGAGACAGGAGCTCAGACAGACTCAGTTTGTCTAAATGCCAAACGTCCACCCAAATAAAAAGAGGGAGAAGGGAGGAAAGGAAAAGGGAACGACATAAGTGAAGGAGGAGAATAGGAAGGAAACGAGAGGAAAGAGAGGAAGGAAAATTATCAGTAGAGAAAGAAAAGAAGAAATCCAATAAAGAGAGGAAAAGAGTAAATATAAAGTATGGAAGCCCAACTCTGCCAAAAAAGGGAAAAATGATAAATGAAAACTGATAAAAATCAAAAAACGCTCACAGGAAGTCAAAAGATAATAAATTAGAATTTTGAGATTAAACTCAAGATTAGACAATACCAAGTTCAAAAGTTAAATAAGTTGAAATTCTGTGATTGTAAACCAAAATTATTATATAGGACAAAATTACAAATCAAAATCTTTCATTTATTACATAAATTACAAAATTATGACAGTCAGTTAAATGTTTGACTCATTGTCTCAAAATTATGACATTTTATCACAATATTTACTTTCTACCTCATTATTTTGATTTAGTGAGTCAAAAAGTTTGATTTTTACCTGTTATTTCTTAAATTTGTTCAGTTTATTTATTCATGTAATAAAGTCCATGCAGACAAAGCATGAAACTGATTTTATTTTAATTTAATTTTTATTTTTCTGAGTTTATAGCTGCTGCTAATTTTCATCTTGTGTCCCTAGTTGGGTTTTACATGTGCAGTGTCATTAAAACTTTACATAAACAATATCATAAAACCACAACACAGTACAGATCTGAAAGAGTAAAATACTAGATTGAAACGCGATGATTGTGATGTTCAGTCTAAGAAGAGACAACCAAAGAACAAACAGTCAAACAAAAACATTTAACAACAAGATCAATAAGCTAGAAATGAGTACAGCTTTATTTTGCTCTGAGCAGCACTGAGCCTTTATATTTGGAGTTTATATCTGGAGTTAATTTGATTTCAGCTGGTCATGTGTTTCACAGCTGACAGCCTTTATGGAGAAAGCTGATTGTCTAAATTTAGATCTACGATGTGGTGTTATAAAAAAAAACTGAAATATAAATGAAGAACAGGAGCTTTTGAGCAGGTCCACTCCCTTCATCTCAACATCAACACGCTGCATTTCTCTGTTTGATTGTAACATAAAAAATAAAAAAAAAGCTGAGAAATGTGGTCACATCACTGAAAACGCCCATCTGAGACGCACCACAGATGGAAATGACACTGCCCCAAAAAACCCACCCAGCCTATCTATGTCCTCCATATCTGAAACATCTACAACTAACATGTACACACCAGCGTTGGCCTGGAGCCTCAGACTCAGCGCTGCTTTGTTTCTGGATCTTTCTGCTGCAGAATAAATAAATAGATTTAGATAAAATAGATAAAATGAATGAAAAGACGTGTCGTTTGTACGAAGGAGGATTAAGGCCACATGTGAAATGGTTTTTTTTTTAAAGTCAGAATTCTGAGTCCTAATCATCTTCCGTACATTTGCTATATGTAAAACATTACATGTATTCATCTGTCAGATGCTACGCGGTAGGAAACTGGTGTGAGTCCTAAATACCACATCTATTAATAAGTGGAAGGAGGTAAAGTGAAGAAGTTCAATGAAAGTGCTGACTACTAGTAAGACATGTGAGGGTGTTACATTAAAGGTGTGAGGAGAGCAGGAGCTCTAAAACATAAACAAATACACAGGATGTGCGTTTGCACTCATTTCCACAAGTAGCTGTGAAATTATATGAGCAGTGTAAAAGCTGCAGGTGTTAAAGGTCGACTGAAGATTACAGGTTAAATATTAAAGCTGTCAGTGAGAGCTGCTTTTGAAGGAACAGACATGTTATTGCTTGATTTTTAGATAATTAGTCTGTGAATTAATGGAGGCTACAGTTTGGACTCAAACCCTGAACATCTGGGGGAAAGTCTTTAAGTGTCTGGTGACATGTTATTCTGAAATTCTGTCAAATAGTTTGTTGGTGATGTGTTGATGAAGCTCTGAAGACGAGGTCTCTGTCTGTCTGTCTGTCTGTCTTTCCAGCAAGTGGAGGTCGATGGACAGCAGTGCATGTTGGAGATCCTGGACACAGCAGGAACAGTAAGATCTTTCTGTCTGTCTGTCTGTCTGTCTGGCTGTCTTTCCTCTGATCCTGGATGGGTTTGCTTGCTTCTTTAAGACTTCCCTTCACTGGCACCAAAGGGCTTGAAACTAACATGAAATCCCAAGATACTGACACTAAGAAAACTGGAATGACCTCCTCGTGGTCGTATCCCTCCGCCACTCAGACTAGTTCCAGGTCACATCCCTGTTTATCCGGAGTCATATAAAATATTAATCATTTGTGTGAAATTTTAACATAATTATTTTTTGTCAAAGTCTTGAGTAATGGCTAAAAAGTGTTTTCTCTAAAAAGGTCACCGTGACCTTTGACCTTTGACCTTTGACCTTGAATCCTAGTGGATGTTTGTGCTATATGTGAAGGGATTCTCTTGAGGAGTTCTGGAGATATTGCGTGAACAAGGCCAAAATCATTTAGAGAGGTCACCATGACCTTGACCTCTGACCTGGAGGGATCGTGGTCGTATCCCTCTTCCAGGATCTGAGAATCTAATAAGTTCATCCTTGAGTCCTAGTGAATGTTTGTGCCATCAAGGCGTTACTGAGATATCTTGTCCACGAGAATGAGACGGACAGACGGACAACCTGAAAACAATATGGCTTCAGCTCTGACCGTTGCTAGGGCGATGACAAAAATCCAAAAGTGGGAAATGTTACCTGGAGTTTGGGTTAATTCAGACCTGGATGGTGGAGATCCTTGACCACCAGCAGCTGCTACTTATTACAAAACGATGAGGAAATGAAAGGTCCATAAAAGGTCCAGGGGTGTCTACATACTTTTGGCCATGTGACATATTTGTCTCTGTCTTCCTGACCACCTGTCTGTCTGATCACCTGTCTGCCTGCAGGAGCAGTTCACAGCGATGAGAGACCTGTACATGAAGAACGGTCAGGGCTTCGCTCTGGTTTACTCCATCACGGCTCAGTCGACCTTCAACGACCTTCAGGACCTCAGAGAGCAGATCCTCAGAGTGAAAGACACCGAGGACGTACGGCGCACACACGCACACACACACACACACACACACACACACACCACACACACACACACACACACACAGTCATAGTGGAGACTCAATTCACTCACCTTTATCTCTGTGCAACAGGCTAATCATTACAAATTATTAAATTAAATTACACTGTAACCCCATAAAGCTAACTGTGTAACATCCTGCTGTAAAGTTAAGACTCTGACAATTATTTTCATAATCGCTTTATTGTATAAAATGTAAGAATAGGTTAAAAGCAGAAGGTAAATTGATTGTTTTAACCAACCAACAAAATTAACCAAATATATTTAATTTACAACTGTCTAACAAATAGAAAAGGTTGATTAATCGGTGTTAATTAGTGCGGTAATTGATTGTGTAAAAAGAAAGGAAGATTTCCAGATCAGAGAAACACTTTGAAACAACTTTTCCTTAAATGTTTCATTGAGTTGTATTTGGTGGAAATGGCGACATCTGCTGGTCAAAACATGGTCTTGCATTTGTTTGGAGGAATTAAATGTAAGAAGTCACTGCCACTGATACTTTGATAAATAAATGTTGTATTATAAACACTGACCCATTTTAAACGGACAAATAAGTATTTTCGTAACTGATTAAGCTACTTTTTATTTCCTCAATTGATTCATTGATTATTTTATCAATAAAATTATAGAAAAAACTTTCTCTGAAAGTTGACATATTCATATTTCTTGATTTATTGTTTAAACCCAAAGATTCTCGGTTCCCTTTCATAAATTAGACAGAAAAACAAATAAATTCTCACATTTAAGAACCTGAATCGAGAGAAAGCGAATTTTCTGCCAGTTGATAATGTGACAAGCTGATTCATTTATGATGTAACGAGTAGTGGTCATGTGACTTTTTGATGGGTCTTTACAATACATATATATACACGAAACAGCACAACCCGTCAAACGATGCAGTGTTGGCATCTTATCGCCTTCCTGTTCAAAAATATTCATCGGAAATATTTGGCGTGCCGTCGCAGGTTCCCATGATCCTGGTTGGAAATAAGTGCGACCTGGAGGTGGAGCGTGTGGTGGCCAAAGAGTCCGGCATCGGTCTCGCCCGCCAGTGGAACTCCTGCGCCTTCCTGGAGACCTCGGCCAAGAGCAAGATCAACGTCAACGAGGTGACACACAGATACATACGCTTCATTTACATTTACATCAGTGGGCGTCACAGGTCCAGAAACCCAACCCAGGACCCGAGTTGTGCCACGTCCAAATTATATGCATGCATGTCTATTTGTGCCAATAGCTTAAAGTGACTAAATATAGTTATGTTATGTGCTGAAGTACAATTTTGAGGTACTTATATTTTACTTGAATATTTCAATTTTATACAAATACTTCAGTTTTTACTCCACTACATTTATCTGAAGCTCAAGAGTTACTGGATATTTTTCAAATTAGTATTGTACATTTAAAACATGTGGTAAGTTTCTAATATTCAACAGAAACAAACAGTATCTACGTGTGGTGCTTTGTCATGTTTGTCTCTTGTTGGAAGTTTCACCACAGATTCATTTCAGTCACAGTTTGAAACACAAAGAGCTAAAATGATCCAATGTTTCACAAAAAGAAAAGATTAGAGAAAAATTCAACAGATCAGAACTTGTTTGGAAACCACTGAACTAAACTAAGTAACTGCGTTATCGAAAGTAGTTAAACCCATACACTGTAAATAAAGATGGACGTGGCCTCCGTGACTCCACCCCCAGGTTTCTGCCAGTGTCTGGCTCCGCCCCTAACTCCCAGCTAATCCAAAAATGGGCAAAGAGGTGGAGCTGAGACTTCGGAGCATTCGGTCACTCAAAGAGGCCACGCCCACAATCCTCCATAACTTTAGTCCTTAATAAAATGTAAACAGGTGAGTTATATAAACAGGTGTCATGAAGGAGGAAATTAGCTCTAGAGACCAAAGCTGTTTTTTGTACCAGGCTGTAAACATGTTTATTTCTGCTGTAAAGTTGGACATTTTAACATAGGAGTCTATGGGGACTGACTCACTGTTGGAGCCAGACTCTAGTGGCCATTCGAAGAAATGCAGTTATTGGCTCTTCAGTGTTGTTGTCTTTGCCCATTTTTGGCTTTAGAAACACCTAAAAATAAATGAGAAGATTAATCTCAGGAATTCTTCATTCATTTTTTTAAATATTTTTGACTCTTTTTCTTAAGATTTTGATTTTTTCCCCCTGAGTTCTGACGTCTGCGTGTTTGTGTTCGTGTGCAGATCTTCTACGACCTTGTGCGACAGATCAACAGGAAGAGTCCAGTTCCAGGGAAAACTCGCAAAAAGTCCACCTGTCAGCTTCTCTAATGACAGGTAGGTGTGTGTATACACCGACGTTAACACACACACTGTGTCACACACACTGTTGTTTATACACACTCTCGTTCTCTCCTCCAGTTTTCTGCTCACCTGACCAACAACCAACCAACCAACAAACCAACCAATCACAGGACATCTTCCAGCTGGCCACGCCCCCTTTAACACAGCCATGTCATCATCAACATCAGCCACCTCTGACCTCTTGTTTCCATGACGACCACATCTCCCATCCCCTCACCACACTGTCTAATGGAGACTGTTGCCTTGGAAACATTAAAACCAAACATCAAAAGACTGCGGCGGTGGCGGCGACAGCAATGATGATGATGATGATGACAATGAAGATGTTGTTGCAGGAAATAAGGGTCGGGGAGGCGGGAGGGCTGTCCAAACCAACTGCCCAAATTTAAACCACGGTTCCCATCATGCTCTCTGCTAGGCCATTTTGCGCTGGGGAGTGGCTTTTTGCTTTTTAATTTTAAATGTTCCTTTCCTTTCTTTTCCTTTCCTTATTTTCCAGTAGTACCGAGCCATTCACATGCAGCTCGACCACCTCACTGTCAGCCATGTTGGTGCCATGGTTACCGTGGTGATGTCGTCTCTAACATGGCTGACTCTGTATGTGTGGCTCTGGTCGAACCTGTGGATCCATTCAGTGATTATTATTATTATTACAGTGGTTATGATTATGATTCTGTGTGAAAAGATATAAAAGTCAATGTTTTTGTTTTTGATTTTTGGGGGGTGGGGGTGGGGGGATGGGGGTGTTGGGGGTGCAGCAGGTTGTGGGGTCAGCTCACTGTGTTGGTAGCTTTGAGCTAACTTAATTTAGCTGACCGATAAGGGAGTGACTCCGCTATCGGAGAAGATGCTAATTGCTATTTGTTGGTCGTTAGCTTTGTTAGCATATTTTTTAAAGAAATCATTGCGTACTTATAGCTTTTGGCTACCTCGTTAGCCTAGCAGCTATTAAAATATGTAAGAAACTTTGTGGGCAAATTATGCTGTTTGTTGATGTTAGCATTTTTAGCATATCATGTTAGCATATTCACAAAGGAACAAATCAGTTGCTTTGAGCTAGTTTGTCAGCCACCATCTTGAAAACTTTATTAGGATTATAGCTAGGAAAAGCTTATGACGCTAAGACTTTACTTGGGAATAGTGTTGCATTCAAAAACCACCAATGAAATTTTAGTATGTTGGGCGTTTTAGCAAAAATCTAAGAGTGTGTTTGTAAAGAAATTAGAATAATGAGTGCTGTTAGTTGTGTGCTAGCTCATTGAGCCAGTAGTCATCGGAATATATTTGATATTGTGAGGGGATGCTAACAATGCTACACTCCCAAACAAAGAAATGAATGATATTAGCTGATGTGAAAAGGGAGTCCTATGAGGACTTTGCTGTGGGCTAACTTGTTAGCATCACGGTGAGCTGACTTCAGATCTGCTGCTCAGGGCGGACATGTTGCCTTTAGACAGCAGACTCACACTGGTCCAGTACCTTAGCTTTGTGTGTGTTCGTGAGTGTGTGTGTTTTGTGTGTTTGTGAGTGTAAATGAACTGCATAACAACAATGAACGAGGCCAGTTTCTGTAATGACCATTTTGGCCCAGGAGGGTGTGTGTGTGTGTGTAGGGGGGTGGGGTGGGGTGGGGTGGGGGGTGGGGGGTTGAGTTATATTTACTGAGCAGGACATCCAGCAAACGTTGTTTCTGTATTATTAACCATATTATTACCTGATTATTAATATCATTAACACAACACATCTGAGAAGGAAAGGTTGAAGGTCCTGTTGGTCAACACTCTCTTTAACTGATGGGAATAAGTTACACTGTCCACGTATGGTGGCCAAAATAGGACAAAAAAATCATAATTGACTGGAAAATTATCACCACCAGCTGTTTTTCGAATGAACCAACAGTAGTGGATGGAAACATGCACCGATTCACATTTTCTTTTGCAGAAATTCTTGAATTTCTTGAAACCCGACTAAAATTTGAAATGTTAAAGGGTTATGGATGGTTTTGCTGTCAATATTCTCATAAGTTAAAGAAGAACGTTGAACTAAAATCAGTGTTTCTTTAAAATAGTATCACAGCTGAAGTTGAAACGGGGTTGGGCTTGAAGCTGAAGCCCCGCCCCTAATTACGGAGAGGGCGTGGCCTGTGAAGCAGCAGCCAGAGAAAGCCTTTGAATAATCTGTCTTCTGTTTGAAATGTGAGAGTGGTCAGACCAGTGACCTCTGTGAGTACTGCTGTGCACAGTGTTGTACTACCAGGAGTACTGCAGTCCGGTGTGTGATACTGCTGTCAGTGTTCTGGTTCTCCTCCAGTTCGTTCAGTCATGTAGCATGTTGATGTTTCTGTCAGTACTTAGTCTGACCTCCAGGAGGTGCTGCGACAGTTTGCATGCCAAGCAGAAGCTTTCAAGAGAAAAGTCTGTTTGTAGCCGTGGCGGGGCATTCCTGTGAATCCCACTGTTGGTGGAGACATTGTAACGTACAGTCTAAGTAAAACGAGTAGGGAAGCCATTTTGATTTTCTGAGAAATTTAGGAAAGTAGCTGTACGAAAATACTAATCTGAAGCCTGAAGTTCACTGTTGTGTGCTTTGTTCAACATATTTTTCTCGTACGATGTTTCTTTGCTGTACTCTTGTACGCCAAGCCATAGTGGTCTCATTACTGCCCCCCTGTGGGCAGATGGCAGAAAACACCCCCTGCATCTCGAGTTACAAGAACCACGGTGTATTCAATACTGAAAAACAATCTTGGACTAATCACACAAGGGTGAAATTTGTGCTTCATCAGAAGTGTTTGCAAATAGTTTTTTTTTCCGGTTTCATAAGAAAAATGATAAAGATAACTGGTTTGTGGAACACGTTACTTATTTATAAGCAGTATATTAACACTTAATATATGGTTTATAACACACTATAATGTCATTTTAAACAGGTACAAGGATATTTCAAGTGTTTATTTTATTAATCAGTTTATCAACATTTGTAACTCCTCTTACAAAGTAACTATAACTGGTGTATGAGCAGTTAATGAATGATTGATAACACAGTATAACACAGCAGTAATCACATTTAATTATATATAATTTAATTACTGTATTTATTAACGGTTTATTCACATGTAAAAATATGTTAAAATTGAAGACATCATGGTTTCTTGACTTTGGAATTAATAATTTAAAAAAAATTAATGAAAATAAAATGATAAACACTTCAAAATTTCCTGATATATCCTAATATATACAATTACTGTAGAGTGTGTTATAAACTTTTAATTAAATGTGTGTACTGTTTGTAAGGCTAAATAGGCGACGCTCAAATGAAATGTTTCCAGATTTTTACACAGTGGATGACACAGGTTTTGTGTGATGAGTATTCCTGTGATATGATCATTGAGCCCAGGTCCGTCCCACCTGCCACAGCCAATCAAATCTACGCCTGGCCACGGCCGCAATCAGACCTTTCTGGCATCCAGAGTCATAGAGGCTGCAGCAGCATTCATCATTTGATTCCACTTCTAGAAATTCAATGTTTGACAGTTCAGGCCAAACTCTGTGATTGGATAGTTCTGTCACAGAGTTTCGGTGGATCTCGAGGCCTCAGCGTGCTTCATGACAACAATTGTGTACGAACATAAAGGAAAAAGTTTCTACAACTGTTTCCAAAAGGCGCAAGTCTTAACTCGAAGACGTGATAAAAAAGTGAGCTTGAGTTAAAACTTGGCCTTACTTTTACACTTCCTGTCATCACAGCCATCACTTCTTTTGAAGCATACTGAGGCCTTTAGAGCTGTGCTAGACTGGGGTTGTTTTTTCACTTTTAATGGAGGCAGGCTTGCAGGCAACATTTGATTTTAAATCCCCATGTTTATCATTCATAAGCAGTAGATAAACATTCAGTAAATGGTTTGTAAAATACTATCATGTAGTTGTAAGCAGCTGTAAGCGTTTATTTATGTATTTGTCAACAGCTATAACTCCTCCTGTAAGTATAGCCTGGTGTATAACCAGAATAACAATATAAGAAAACACAGGTGAAATAATATGAAATATGTCTTCATAGGAGATGTTAAAACTTTTACAAATTCAAAAAAAAAACACTTAAAATGTCCTTATATCTGCTTATAGCTACATTATAGTGTGTTATAAACCATACTGTGCTTATAAATGCTAAATAGGGGGACTTAGAATAAAGTGGTACTGGTGAGTAGTTTCCCTCTGCTTCCAGTCTTTATGCCAAGCTAGGCTAAACATATTGAGGACCTATCTCTGTACTGGACTCAGATTAAATTGACTGATGATCTTCCAGTCAGAGTTTCTGTAAAACGACAAACGAAAGCATTGAAGAGACGATTGCAGCTGCAGCCAACTGGAATGATTCATTCACAACAAGAAGAAATTATTTTACCTTACTGAAACAAATCTGCTTCTTTTTCTCTGTATGGCATGATGACCAGTGAAATGTAAAAGAAACCAGTTCAGCCAGTGATATATCAGGTTTTAAGACCCCAGTTCCACTCTGCTGAATCATTTCCGTTCAGCTGTGAGGGAGTTTCTAAACTGGTGTGAAATTGGTCTGAAGTGGTTTCTTACAGTACAGAAACCCACAGCAGCAGCGGGAGGTAGGGGATGGGGAGGGTGGGGGTGGTTGGGGGGGTGAAGCCAAATGTAAAGTAAAAACTAAAAAGCCTTAAATGAATAAAAGTGGTGCAATTTTGTAACAGCAAACTGCAATGTGGAGTCATTCTGGATTAGATAGATAGAAAGATAGATAGATAGATAGATAGATAGATAGATAGATAGATAGATAGATAGATAGACTGGTTATAGGTACATGTCACCCTCTGGTGGTTGAGTTTTGTAAAGTCATGCAGAAACCATATTGAATTAATTTAACTTATTTTCTATCTATTTATTTTTTAATATGATATTTATATAATTTAAACATAACATATGGATAAAATGTCAAAATGTAAAACTTTATATAATATAGTAATTACTGCAATATATGATATTATCATTCAATTTAATGCAAAAGATTAGCAAAGCTTTGACATTGCAGTGTACATTTTTGCTCTTTTTGTGAAGATGACATCACAGCAAAGAAATTATGAGATTATTCAGATCAAAAATGTTTTTCAACCGAATTGATTTTTTTTTCCTAAAACAATTTATTATTCAAAACAGTTTAAATAAGATGGAATGGAAACTAATAAGCACTGAAAATGGAAGATACAATCAATAGAAACTCCTGAAATTAGATATATAACAAAGTGGATATGGACATGATACATACAAAATATAGTAAAAAACAACCAAATAATATGATATAATATGAAATAAAATAAAAAATAAATTGCAAGACATAAACAAGACATCTTTTACAAAAGAAATCCTTAAACAAGGAAATACAGTTGACGTCACTTGTCGATCAACCGTTTTCCTGCTGACGCGTCTGCGCATGACGTTGAGCTGCCATGGCAACGGAGGCAGCACCTGAAGCCGAGGGACAAGCTTAGCCGCTGGCTAGCACGCTGGTCGGGTTAGTTAACTAGTTGTACAACATTATTACAACTAGTTAACAAAACGTTCATGGTCGAGTGATGACTCGTCGTGGTTGGTCAGCGGTGAGAGCGCCATGACTGTCCGCTTCAAGGTAAACAACAGGTGTTAGCATTAGCAACAGGTTAGCCAAACAAGCTGGTGCTAACGAACGTAGCCACCTAACAGCTAACTCGCCGACTGCGCTATTTATAAACGGGTTCCGACTAAATTAGCGTCAGTTTTATCTCTAATGAACCAGTCTGGTCCCGGTTTACCGGACAGAACCCGGCACGAGACTGCAGAGTCAGGATTAATGAGATTTAATCTGATGCAATCAGCTAATCCAGCTAATCAGGGTCAGATAGATTTGTTTATTTGCTTGCAGAACACTTTTGAAAACTCAATTTACAAAGTATAAAGTGCTAAAAAAGGGTTAGGGTTAGAAAATCGTACTAGTACTACTAATACTACTAGTATTACTACTATTACAGCTACAGAGGACATGATACCAACCATAACTTCATAAATATTGAATTATCAGTATTGATTATCATGTAGTTTTTATTGATCATTCATCAGTAAGACTTGTTTGATTGTAGTAATTTAAGATCTGAGAAATGCTGATGGGCATTTTCTATTATTTATGCTCAGGCTTCAACTGATGATTATTTTCATTAATGAATAAACTCTCAATTATATTGTGCTTAATTAGTTAGCTGTGCAGGCTAGTAAATGTCAGATTAAAATACTCATCACCATTTTCTTCAGATGTTTTGTTTTGTCTGACAATCAGTTAAAACCCAATATATATTCAGATTTGAATGATTTTAAACAGAGAAAATCAAAACAGATTGACAGTAAGTGAGTTTAATGATTAATTAATCATAGGGCTGCAACTAACTTTTATTGTTAGCAGCATTATATAGATTGAACTTAACACTTATGATTCGACCCTGCATTTCCCTTTCAACTCAAAACAAAATTAACCTATGATGGTGTCATATTGTGTGTACACTGTACAGATTGTGTATCATTTCGTTCCACCTTAGTGAAGCGAGATGATTCTTACAATAAGTGAAATATTCAAACATTCACAGTCAAGATTCTTTGATTTTTATGGATGCACTGTTTCAGCAAATGGAAATATTCTATATGTCTTGGGCATATTAACACACTGTTTTATTTATTTGAACCGTGTTTGGCCTTACAACTTGTACATCTGAAGAGCCACCAAACTCTTTCATCTTTGTGTGTTTGTGTCAGTGTCAGAGTGAATACCAGAAGAGCTACGGGGTTCCCCGGTCCAGGAGTTTGCCCCCTCAGCGCTGCACCCCGTTGGCCGGCCTCCGCTCCTACCAGATGGGTAAGAACCCTGAGATGAGCTCTGACTGGATTGACTTTATTCTGACAGTGCTGCAGATACAGTGGAGTGTGAAGGTTGTACTTGATTTTTCTGCTTTTCCACCAGAAAGAAAGAAAACCAGTTGCTGATCTTACCAATGAAAAAAGTTCAATTACCTGGTTAGAAATTCTTTAAGAGATATCTAGGCCTCCTACCTTGTTGAAGAATCAGAATCTGTGACAATGCAAATATTTTTCATTATTCCTTTTAAAGTCCAAAGTTACATGTTGTGTCTTTGACTCGTGCGTCTCTCAGGTATCAGCAGAGAACCAGGTCTCCAGCGTCGGAAGAGGCTCGGTCCTGCTGGTCTCGCTCAGTCCTGCACTTCTCTGCTCTGTCCATCAGATCCACATCAGTCCCCTGCTGAACCGACCGCTCATGCCCACATAAGAGCGCCCTCTGCAGGTAGGCTGTCCATGTCAACAATATACATATAATATAGCTGAGAAAAAAATAGTTTATGATTCCAGCTGTTGTGGGTGGTTGTAGCTCAGGAGGTAGAGCAGGTTGACCACCAAACTGAAGGTCAGTGGTTCAATCCCCAGTCCACATATCAAAGTGTCCTTGGCAAGATACTGAATCCCTCTGAATCTGTATAAAAAAATTTGTTGTTAAATTAAAAAAAATGACTCATCATCACATAATTTAGCCCCCAAAATATCAGTAGCTGTATCAGCCTCAAAAACCCAGTATTGGACAAACTGTAGTGTACAGTTAGGATGCTAACATGCTAGCTTTTAGTATGCACTGGTATGATAATAGCTGCTAATGTAAGTATGTTAATCTGTTTTCCTTGTCTAATGTTACTTTGGTAACAGGAACAAGATTAATTTAATTTAACAGCAAGAAAATCTGTCGTTTATCAGTCACTTTGTCAGAATCTGATATGAGTTAATTTTAAAGTGTTTTATAAATGAATTCCTTCTCCTCCACCTCTTCAGTACCAGCCTCCAGGAGTCGCTCCGCCCACAGGAAGAAGCCTACCCTGGACCCAAGACCTCCAACACCTCCTCCTGAATCTCGAGCAGAACCTGAATCTCCTGCACAACCAAAAACTCCAGAGAGGCCACAGCGTGCTGCAGGAAAATCTAGTAAATACCCATCACATACAGTCCAGAGCGTAAGTATTTGGACAGTTACATATTTGTTGTTCTTCAGGCTCTGAGCTTCAGCTCATTCAGTATGAAATAAAATAATAGAGACAACATTAAAGAGCCAAGTCTCATCTTTAATCTGAGCAGGTTTACGTTAATATAGGAAGAACAGTGTGGAGATATAGACCCTTTAAAAAAAACCTGAGCCTGAATAATTACTGTGTTAATGTCCAAATACTTATGGCCTGGACTGTAACTCGGCTTCATTATCTTCCTCTAAGAACAGGTTCAGGTTCCGCTTAAGGAATATGATTTGTCTCCTCAGCAAAGCTCCACCCCTCCCAGCCTGACAGACAACCACAGCAGCCCAGCCGCCCTCCTACAGCAGCACCTGACCGACAGCAGCTCTCGGCCAATGAGGTGAGCCGCTGAAAAACTGTGTCTAGTTGTGTTTTTTTAATTTTTAAAACAAGAAAATATCAGGATTAACAGGATCTCCTCCCTTGTGCTGCAGTTCGAGCATGCTCTGCGGTCGAGGGCGGGGCTGAGGTCAGAAGGTCAAAGGTCGGGAGGTCAGAAGTCAGAGTACCACAGACAGTTCAGCTGGAAGAAACCTACAACTGCTGCGTCACCAGTACTGACTGCAGAACAGGTACGACACCACCAAATACTGTAAATACTACTGTCAAGTACTATAAAATACTACCACACACTACAGTAATACTTCCAAATACCACAAAATACTACCACAGGTAGACACACGTATTACAAAATACCATATTTTATCATGTATAGTATTGCACTCAAGGTAATTGCAGGTACATTTCTACCTAATACTTCCAAATACCACTAAATACTATCAAATATGACCCCACACTACACTAATACTGCCAAATACCACTAAATACTACCACATATTTCACCAGTACTGGCTGTAGAGCAGATAAGATACTACAAAATAGTGCTGAACACTGGCAAATACATATTGCATATTTTATCACGTACAGGACTGAACTCATAGTAAATGCAGATACACTACAACCTAATACATCCAAATACTACTAAATCCCATCAAATATGATCAGATACTGCACCACACTGACTTCTGAGCAGGTAAGATACTGCAAAACAGTTGTTCCCATATAACAAACCCATTCTAATCGACTTTATTGACTTTACTGACTGACAGCTACTAACAGAAACTCCCAGCTGCTTCATATGTTTTAACATTAACCTATAAGATGGAGAGTTCATGTTAGCATCAGTATGTTACTACAATATGTTACTGTTTTCATCACTGTACGCAAACAGAGATATGCTAGTAAATGCTAGTCAGTAGGATGCTAACTAAGAATGCTTTGGTCTGAGTCGCTGCGTTGAGCTTATTAAAGGTTTCTGGATGAGGTGACGCGTCTTCAAGGAACTACAAGAGGTCATGTCACCTTTGATTTAACTCTGCTGAATTCAAGAGGAAATAGATTTTAACCAGGTAAATCCCACTGAGACCTTAAACTACAAGTTTCAGACAGGAGAATAAACATCAGACACATGAATAAAACAGTAATAAAAACCAGGTGATAATGTATGAAGACTGAAATAAGATAAGAGCAGAGAAAGTTAGAAAACAGTCAATATTTAGAAAACAGAGGAAATGAGTAAAACACTCATGTACCATGTGGTTTGAATTCAGTCTGGGATACTGAGCTGTTTGATTTAATTTCCTTCTGAAAACTGTTCCATGTTGCTGCAGCAGAAAACCTGAACACTTTCTTTAATATCTCAGTCAGTGCAGACAGACAGAGGTATGATCTGAGTTTGAAAAGATAACAGTGGAGTTTTGTCTGGAATTACTTTTTAAATAGAAATAAACCACCGACTCAAACGATGTAAAACCGACAACAGATGAATGGATAAAGAAAACAACTAAAAACTGTTTGACTGTATAAAACATCAGTTGCAGCAGAGGAAGGACTGACTGACTCACCAGGTGTGTGCACTTCAGCTGTGTCCACCAGGTGGAGGTAGACTGTTTGATTGCTCGTCACTGATGAGTTCAGTGTTGACATGTCTAATTGTGGTTTAGTGAATCATTCAGTCTCATCACTGCTCTTTGATTTTAATGATTAGTATTTAAATGACTTGTCATTGCTGCTGACCTTTGACCCCCCCCCTCCCCCTCCACCATTGCAGGTGCTGTATTCCAGCAGCAGATCTGTCCCTCCCTTTAAGAAGAACTCCGTTGCCATGGAAACGGAGTATCAGCGGAGCTTCCAGGGCGTGGCCCCTCCCACCGAACCCCGCCTTCGGACACATCTGGAACATCAGCAAATCCCGCTGTTCCACAAACACATGGTATATATATATCTGTGTGTGTGTGTGTGTGTGTGTGTGTGTGTGTGTGTGTGTGTGTGTGTGTGTGTGTGTGTGTGTGTCCTGATTGGTTGATTGATTGATTGATTGATTTGAGCTGTTTTCATCTCCAGACCAACAAAAAGAGGAAGGAGGAGTCACAGAAGAAGCCCCGCCCCAATAACAACGCCCCCACCCCTCAGAATGATAATGCCACGCCCCCTCCTCCTCCTCAGGTGCAGAGAGGACCCAGGTGTGTGTTTTGTGTGTGTGTGTGAGTTTTTTTTGTGTGTGTGTGTGTTTTGTGTGTGTGTTTTGTGTGTGAGTTTTTTGTGTGTGTGTGTGTGTGTGTGTTTTGTGTGTGTGTGTGTGTGTGTGTGTGTGTGTGTGTGTGTGTGTGTGTGTGTGTGTGTGTGTGTGTGTGTGTGTGTGTGTGTGTGTGTGTGTGTGTGTGTGTGTGTGTGTGTGTGTGTGTGTGTGTGTGTGTGTGTGTGTGTGTGTGTGTGTTTTGTGTGTGTGTGTGTCTGTGTTGTGTGACTCCATTGTGTTCATGAGCTCGTCTGTCTGTCTGACAGGATGTTCACAGAGTATCAGTCCAGCTTTCGTTCTCCCCTCTACAGGATCCCAGAAAAAGGCGGAGCCACGGACGGCGACGCCCCTCAGGTCAGGATTCAGTGTTATGGGTGATGGGGGGGGGTGTCATACGATGAGGGGCGGGGTCACTTACTATCTTTGCTACCTGACTCATTTAGATAAACCAGATTAACGTCACTCACCTACAAAAAAAATACTCGCAAGAGGGAACGATTGAAAAACATGTAATTTCAAGAGATGGTAGCAAAGCTCCGCGAATAAACAGCAACACTTTTTTTTGTTGTTATTTTTTGGGGCATTTTTAAACCTCATTTTGAGTGTAGACAGGAAATGGGACAGAGAGGAGGGGAGTGCAGCCGGGAGTCGAACCATGGATGCCCCAGAGCGTTTGTACCCAAATCACTGGGCCATAAAATCACTTCAACAGCAACACAACCTCGGTGTGTGTCTGTCGTTCCCACTCTTCACCTCTTTGAACTCCTTCGTGAAGTTAAACCTGTGGAAACTTGAGGTTGTGAATTAAGTCAACGTTAGCCTGGCGTTATGTACGTGTGTTCGAAAGCTAGCTCGCTCGTCTGTAGGTCATTTGACAAAAAGAATGTGACGGAAGGAAGAAGGATGAGAAGAACTGATAATATAATAAATCTCAAGTGTGAAACTGGTTAATACAGTTTCTCTGATGTAACAGATTACAGCTGTTGATGTTGATAAACTCGCATTTCTATAGGAACAAAGTCACTGTTGCTTAATTGAGTGAAACAAAATGGTTTCCGTTTGTAAAAGCAGCTGCTGGAGTGGAAATGATTTGAACAGGACTTGAAGTTTACTCCACACAGCTGTTCACACAGTTTACATGTTGAATCCAGGCTTTTAAAGAAGGAGTGTCAGGCGTGTGCCGACAAGATAAACAGCTTCATGTCATAAAAAACACCTATACACACAAAGAGAATCAGTGTTTATGGGCAAAAGGTGACACACAACGTAACTCTTTACAAACACATAGTAAATATATAGTTTTGTTTTTTTAAAAGGCTCAGTAACTAAAACTGCTGCCGACAGGAGATTTAATCAAACAAACAGGAGGAAATATATAAAGCATTTGTTGGGGACTATTTCCAGCGGCAGATTAATCGTCAGAGTTGAAGTTGCGTGACATTATCTGATGGTTTTGGTGTCTTCACGGAATTCATGACAATATTCGATTTGTCAGCATCAAAATCAGTTCAGATTAAACTCTGCAACATTTTGTCCACTCGACAATTTAAACCTGCTGAACAGCTGATTTGAATTTGATTTGTCGGGGATTTGTGCAGTGTGTGTGTGTGTGTGTGTGTGTGTGTGTGTGTGTGTGTGTGTGTGTGTGTGTGTGTGTGTGTTGTTGATAGAAAACCAGAGTGCTGAGTGTCAGTGGTGAAACCACAGAGCTTCATTTCAGGGAAACAACACACTGTTAGTCACACACATACACACAGGTAGGTTCCCACCAGTCGTGTGGAAAGTGTCGTTGGGGGGGGGAGGGGGGGGGGGGGGCAGATGAAACTTTTCTCTGCTGTCATCAGATTAGTTGAAAACGTCAAAGTCAAAATACCTCAAATATCCCCTGAAGCTGAGCAGGAAAACCCGTTTCTACAACTGATAGTTTAATTTTTAGTTCCTAATGTTTTCAGAATAGTTTTACAGTTTATGGCCAAAAGTTTGTGGACGCTGCTGTTGCATAGCGAGGCTGCAGGGCCCGGTCGATTAAATCTTAATGCTGCAGTAAACAGTTGTATTTTAGACCACTGCGCTCTTCAACCGTGTGTCTCCAGTTTGTGTGTGACTCTTCCTCATGAGCTGTGTCTCAGTTGAGGGTCTGCATCCTTCAGAGGACCTGGTCTATGAAGGTGTGGCCCATCATAGACTGAACTGAAGTGAGACGGTCCGGTCTACGGAGGATTTTTGCACTTACTGTTGCAACCTTGACAACACGTAACCTTTTTTCAGTAAAACTTTTTGTTTTAAGTCTCTTGGTTTTACCAGTTGCACCGTTAGCTGCTGAACTGAGCTGAAACTCAGTGTAATCCTCAGGCTGTCTGTCAGGGTTGTCTGCTGACATATTATTTTCATTATTGGGACATAAATGGGACGGTGATGTCACTCTGCTGTGGCACAGTCGGTCTTCAGGTGCAGCCTGATGACCTGACCTCCACCTTATCACACCTTATCGAGCACCTTCGAGACGAACTGGAACACCGACTGCGAGTCAGCCATAAACCCCCCGGCATCAGTGTTGGACCTCACAACTGTCTTGTTCAGACACAAGATCATCAGCGTCCCTCAACAAACATCATTACCCATAAAGCCCTGGACTTTTGTGGGCTAAACGTCATGATTCAAGTCCACGAGCAAGTGGAGAGTCTGTGACATCAGGACAGAGACGAGTTGGAAAATGACTTAAGCAGAAAGTGTAAGTGAGTTTTATGGATGTGGATGAAACCAAGTTTCACCTGCGGCTGCGACTGTGGATTTTTTCATGTCTGTGCTTTGTTGAAATCATGAAGCTGATTTGTCTTTGATGAAACTCCAGGAAGGAGGTTTGATTAAACTGAGGTGGTGCTGAGCTGCAGGAGGTGGTGGGACAGAAGCTGCACAGGACGTGACGTCATCTCTCTGTTGATTCCAGTCAGTCTGAAGTTACAACATCATTTAAACGCATCACATGTGACCTGATTTATCATATTGCAAAACCAGCTGATGACAAGCAACATTTGTATGACAAGATAAATACTGAAAACTGAACGAGAGACCTGAAGATCTGTTACTGAAACATTAAAAACGATTTATTGTAATGTTGCATCTGAATGCCAGCATGCAAACAGTTCGTCTGCCGCAGCTGCTTCAATCAGACACGACAACGACTGAATAAACCAACTGAATGAAAAAGAAATCTCTGAATCCGTGGGTGGCGTGTAAGCGTCCGGTTAACTTTCCATCCTGTGGTGACTCTGCTCTGTGAAAAGACGCTGTCAGCTCACATCATCACCTGCCTGCTCAGAGGAAACGATCAACAGATTTAGCATCGTGACAGTCAGAGACCTGCAGCGTCAGGTTTTACAGTTCATGCTGGGGTTGAGGTTTAGTCGAGGGACAGGCTGCGGTTTGCGTTGAAAAAAGGGCCGAGGTAATCCAGGGTTTGGACTGGGGTCAGGATCAGGTTACTGTTGGGTTTACCAGAATCGACAGGACGAGGCGCCGCAGACTAAGGACACGCCGGTGAAGACGAGATGTATAATCTAATGATTTGCCTGAAGGCTGCACAATTAATTTAAATATTATCAAAATCGCAACATGGCCAAGTTCAACATCCAAATCAAATCTGTTTTTCTTTCTTCTCTTCATATCTAAACTTTGCTTTGAAAGTTTCCCCACACTGTAGAAACAACAGGAAATGCAAAGAGAATATCTGCTTTTATCAAAAAGAAGAAGAACTTGAGACTGTAATTTGTTAAAATTAGATTAAAACATTATTTCAGTTGTTTGTTTTGAACCTGGATCCAAATTTGAGTCTGTAACAAACAAAATATGTGAGTGTCAATCTGCTTCATAACTTCCCTGATGTGTGAGACACGTCTGACCACAGTCGCGTCCGTCGTCGTGCAGGTGAAGCAGCTGAAGCAGCTGAGGCAGGAGGCCTCGTCGTACCGCCGCCGCGCCTGGGGAACCAACTTCTCCAGAGATCACCTGAACCAGCTGCGGTCCGAACACAACGCTCTGTGGGAGCCGACCGACACCACGGACTCTGCCACTGACCCCCCCACCCCACGCTTGACCTTTGACCTCTGTGAGGATCCAGACAGCCGCAGCACGCCCTGTGTGGAGGCTCTGGACCTGGCCAGGTGAGAGGTTATTTTGTGTCAGTTATTTACTCGATAAATCAGTTTGTATCATGTGACAAACAAAAGCATCAATGTCTGTTAGTTTTTCACTATTTTTGTCGTTTGTTGATTAATTAATTATCAGAATAGTTTTCACTGATGGTCTCATCAATCGATAGATCGTTGCAGCTCTAAAAGCATTTAGTAGTAAACTGTCTGTGTGTGTGTTGTGTTTGCAGCCGCTCCGCTGCCTCCAGTAAGAGGTCGTCTGTCGTGGGCTCAGGAGAAATAAACAACACAAACAAAAACACACAAACAAAAGCACAAACGTCTCAAAGTCCTCCTGCTGAAAGACCCACCGCCTGGGAAGGAGGAGGAGGAGAAGAAGGAGAAGAAGAAGAAGGAGGAGGAGGAGGAAATACAGACGAGTGAGTTAAATTATGATTGTGAAACTGTTCCTTTAATAATTAATAATTAATTTGATCATATGAAGAAGAAGAAAACATTATAACCTTGATTTATCTGGAAAGCAGCAACACGTTTTCTTCTTTTATGTTATTTAATTTCCTGTTGTTATTAGTCAACAGCCGAGACATGACAGGAAGTGAAACCCAGAAGCCACGAGGAACCCGTCAGTTAGTACTTTAATCATGGTTCATAATGTGGAGCCGTTTGTTTACAAGTGAATTCAGTTACAAACAAACAAACACTATGAAGAAAAATCAGTTTCCAACCCGAAAAGAGACAAACACTAAAAAAAAACTGACAAAATGTGTCAGAATTCTTGTTGGTAAACGGATCAATGATCTAATTAGAACCTGTGGAACAGTGGACGTGACAGAACAACGTTCAGACAGTGAAGGAGCCAATGGACTGTTTGTTTGTGTCGTGTCACACTGATTAAGTCTCTATTTCAGACTGTGTTTCAGTTTGAGGCCGTTAGTCGAAGCATCAACACCTGAGACACAATTTCACCTGCATCGTTTGTGTGTGGGGGTTTTTTTAGCCTAAACTGAAAATGACAGCAGTCAGCATGTTGTGCGTTTGATAACTGAAGTCAAACACGTTGGGCTCTATTTTAACGATCCAGAGCCCATGACTGTCACTTTTCCTATTTTAATGGCGAAAAAAACATTTCAAAAGGGTTGGACTTTTGTTTTGTGTTTTTGGTGTAACATCCAATTCACTTTAAAAGCGCCTCGGTGTATTGTTGCTGTTGTCATGGCAACAGTTCACAAAAATTAAAACTCGACTTTTTCAACCGTGTGGCTGCAAGAAAACAAAGAGCAGATCTAGAAGCTAAACTGTAAACGAACGAGCTGCTGCAGCAGTCTGTGGTGGACGTCTCTGATCGATCAGGACAAACGTGTGTGTGTGTGTGTGTGTGTGTGTGTGTGTGCGCGTGCGCAGGGAGGAGGGGAGGTTACCGACTCCAAGGCTGAAGATACGACCAGTTCAGAGAACCCACCACGACCTCACCACACCTTCTACTGGTACACACGCACACACACACACACACACACACACACACACACACACACACACACACACAGCGTCGACCTCTGACCTCTGTCTGTCCTACAGGAGGAGCTATTCTAGTGGGAAAAGTGAAGATCAGTGATGAGTCTTCTCCGCTCAAACAACAGGTGATGTCACAGATTTTAGATTCTTCCTGGAAAATGAGAGAAATAATAAAAAAGCTTTTGTCGTCCTGGAAAATCATTTAGTCTTTGACATAATTTCGTGAACAGTGTGTGAACCCTGTTGCAGTAAACTGCTCTTCTTGTCCTCAGAGGTGTGGGTCAGCCGTTTCCGTGGCAGCGGGGGCGGACGCTGCGGTCGACATGCCGGTCAAACGGAGAGAGGCGTGGTCAGAGAATAAACGCCCTCCATCACCTGGCCCCTCCCCCGACCACAAACTGGCTTCTAAACCAATCAGGATGAAGCAAACGCCTCCAACCCCTGTTGCCCCACCCCCTCTGGTCCCTCCCTCACTGCACTGCATCCAGGGAACCCTGAGACACCCTGACTTCCAGCACAACGGTGAGCAGCTGCTAATTAATTAACTAATTAACTAATTAATTAATTGGATTGATGAATTAATTAGACTGATGATTAAACAACCTGCAGGAGAAATAAAGACCGACTCATTTTCAATCCGAAAACATCAGACACCTTACCCCAAGGTGACTCAGCCCTGAGACCAGTGTTACCATGGTAACAGTCACTGACGCCTGCGCTGACCAGTCGCAGCCAACCAAATTAATCAGATTTTTCATTTTATTGTTTCACTCTCGTAACTGTTGAATTCCTTATATCCAAATATTTTCTGCTGCGGCAATTTTTATTCCTCCACGCCGGCGACAGTCAGAGGAGCCATTTTGTCTTCAGGTTGTCCGTCCGCCGTCTCGTGGACGCGATATCTGAGTAACGCCTTGACGGAACTTCTTCATAAACTTCTTCTGTGGCACAAACATTCAGTAGGACTCAAGGATGAACTGATTAGATTGTGGTGGTCAAAGGTCAAAGGTCACGGTCACGGTGACCTCAGAAAACACTTTTTAGCCATTACTCAAGACTTCACAGCAATTATGACAAAATTTGGTTCATATTTTAAATGACTCTGGATAAACAGGGATGTAATCTGAAACTAGTCTGAGTGGAGGAGGCGGTAATTCTAATTTTTATTTTGAAAAAAAGTCTTAATTTACCCAGAAGTCATTGCACCAAAGTCCAGCTTAAGATAGTCAAGAGCTAAACAGTTGATCTGAAGTTTGTTGTATCTAAGAGTCACAGTCCGGCTCCAGGACTCACCTGGAGCGGGAGCACCGAGGGTTCCTCAGGTGTGACGCTGTGTTTTCGAGGTTGTGTGGTTGTTGGTCGTGTTGACGGGTGAATGATTGTGTTCCTGTGTCTCCTCAGGTGAGTTGGGTCTGAGGTTCAGGGAGCTGCAGTGTTCAGGACGAGGCTGCGGCTCCGATGACGGTGAATTAACCTTTATTAACAACACCACTTTTTAAACACTTAATGAAACTCCCACCTCCGTTTAAACCTGTTCTCCCGTTGCCCAGACGACCGGCTCTCGGTGATGTCGTGGCGTTCCGCGGCCTCCTGCTCCATGGCGTCCGCCGTCCTGCAGCGCGCTCAGAAGAGACGAGAAAACTTCTGGGGGAAGAGATGACCTCCGACCTCCTGACCCTAACGAGGTCCCTGCTGTCGCCGTGGAAACCAGCACTGTTGTTTGTAGAGCTGAGTGGTTAGTTAATGAGTAATTGCTGTAATTAGTCAGAATCATGTATTTTTATAGATGTAAGTGATTAATTTAATTAGAGAGAATCATGTATTTTTATAGGTGAGTGTCAGTACCTGTGTCAGTGTTTACAGGTTTGTCATAGATGTTTTTATAAATCTAATTATGTAACGTTAGTCATTGTGTTGCTGCGGCTCAGTTACATCACAACCTGAAACCTGAGCTCGTCAGTTTCCTCCTGAGGGAACGAGCTCCCACTGGTTAAAGGAAAACTTTGGAGAAACGTTTGGCAGCGACGTTCGGTTCCTGTCAGCGGTTTGGTGTCTGTTTCATCTTCCTCAACGTTTCTCACACGCTGCTGCAGCGAACACTTTGACCTTTGACATCAGAGAATCCAACGCTCTGACAGCGTCTTCCTCATGACAGACTCACGGTGAGAACAAACAGACTGCTAATTCTTTTATCATCCATTAATCTGCCCATTAATTATTACATTTTTTTATTAGTTTGATCTATAAAACATCATGAACCTCAGGGTCAGAGGCTGCAGCCAATCCCAGCTCACATGAGGTGAGAGGCGGGACTTACCCTGCACAGACCAACTGTCTGTCACACGGCCGACACACAGATGAACAAACATTCACACCTGCAGGAAGTTCACCAGTTAACCTGCAACATATAAACTCCAGGGTTCAAACCCAGAACCTCCTGGCTGTGAGGCGCCAGTGCTGATCACTGAACCACCGCGTCGTCCCGAACAACAAGTAAACACACAGAAATATTCACTTTACAAAAATAAGAATAAAGAAAAGCAGCTAATTCTCACATCTGAGAAGCAGATAATTATATTATCTTTTTTATTAAAACAGGAAATTCACTGAAAAATTCCTGAAACAATTTTTTTTCCCACAACGTCAAATATTTCTGTTTGACGTCAGAGAACTGACATCACACAAACATCGCCATCACTTCCTCCAGACGGTGAGGATGGATTACCTGGCAACTTCTCACACTGTGCAAACACAAACACACACAAACACACACACACAGGTTTGACCTGCAGATAAACCAGCTGACTGTGAATTCCCCTCATAACAATGTACAGGCCAGAACAAACAAAATGTAGATGTAAAGCTGTGTGTGTGTGTGCGTGTGTGTGTGTGTGTGATTTCCTCATACTGACAAATTTCTGCTCTAAAGTTTCATTCAAGGAAATACGACATGAATAAATCAGTCTGTTTAAAGTCATAAAATGGTCTTGAATCGTGTGTTTTTTCGTTTCCAGTTTATTTTTTATAAAATTTAAAAATGTAATTGCTTCATAATTAGTTGATATAAATTCCAAACCTTCATGTTTTTCACCACATGACATTAAAAATGTTTCTGTCCCGTCTCTTTGCTCTCTCCATAATAATGTTTACAAACCACAAATGTGAGCCACATTGACTGCTACTGGTCAGCACAGGTGTCATTGATTGTTACCATAGTTACATTGGTCTTAGACCTGAGTCAGTCTTGGGGTAAGGAACATATTTATATATAAACACACATTTTTGATAAATGTTTATGTTGCATCCATTCACTGATTTTGTGTAAATGAGAAGAAAACAAATCCTGGTTTACAGAGGGACGCTGTATTCAGTTCACAGCTTGTTTCCCACTTTTGAACATTATCTTCAGTTTCAAATAAAAATAAAAGCCTTAATAGCAGGTGCATCAACCTGATACCATCATGCATCACAGTTCCTCATCACTGAGGGTGCAAAAGCAACTTCCTGAAATATTTTTATTTTAAACGCTTAAAATGTATAGAAGCAGAGAAAGTCCGCAAATATTTTTTTTTCCGTTATCTCAAAGTAAAAAAGCTTGTTACCCCGAGATAACGAGATATTATCAGGGGAAAACAATTTTTAAATCGCGATAATGAGATATCAAGAGAGAACTTTTTTTTTTCCTGAAGATATCAGGAGAAACAATTTTTGTTATCATGAGATAACGAGATATTATAGGGAGAAAACGAGATATTGAGAAATTTTTTTATCTTTAGATATTAGGAAAAAACGATTTTTTAAAATTATTTAAATTTTTTTCTCATTATTACTCCGAGGTATTGATGAACATATCACAGAATATTTCAATCAAGGGCAGAAATCACACCGTTGCCATGGTTACTGAACGATGCGACAGGTGCAGATTATCTAGACAGAGTGTTACTCACAATTTAGTGTATGGGGTTCCATCAAAATCATTTTCTTTTGATAATCTCTCGTTATCTCGGGATAACGAGCTTTGTTAACTTGAGATAACGGGATAAAAAATATTTGTGAGTATGACCATCCTCAGTTTATATATCTCTGAGCGTGCTCAGTAGAGTCTGGAAAATCAGACATCTATGAAATCCTTTTTGGAGACGTCTCAAAACTTCCCACCGCTCTGCTCAGTTCTCAGTCGCTGGTGTTCAGCTGTGGTCACTTCCCGTTCATCGTTAATTGGGTGTTCCACTTTTCAGCTTCCTCACTACGCACAACATGTCGCAACGTATGATGAACAATGTGACACAGATGTTGTAACACCTGATTCTGATCAGAACAAGAGTAATTTAAATTTAGATTTATTTCAGTATGAGTGAATTTATTCTATTGAAGGTGTTCACATATGTAGAAACAGGTATTTTTTTCCTTTAAACACAGCAGCTGATGTCAGGCCAGGTGAAGGATGTCTGCAGCTTCATTTGTAGCAATGAGGCCTTTAATCCTATTACCAGTCTCTGAGGGATTAACACGCCCACACTCTGCACAATAAATGGAAAAATTTAACAGAAAACTGACCCGGCCACTCGATCCGTCACTTCACAACCCGGAAATTCCTGACAGGAAAATATTGATGTGAAGAAGCAGCAGAGACAGAGGAGGGAAACTGGATTGTTACTGTACTGGCAGCGATCAGGGAGCAGGGTGGGGGTTTCCACTGTAGGCCCCCAGGAGCAGGAGCTCATACAATGTCCCTGATTTATATAATTCATAGATATCAAACAGGACTTCCTCTGTAGAAGCAGAAGGAGCGGCCAGTCGTGATGGTCTGGAGTCCCCCAGGGATCAATCCTGGGTCCCATTTATTTTTTTGTTTTTATTCCAGTTGTTATACCAGTTGATTATCCTAAAGCAAATATAACAGGTGTTTTTCTAATAAAAACGTACCTAATAATAATAATAATAATAATAATAATTAGGACACTTTACAAAGCGAATAAAAAATTCAGAAACATAAGAATTATTGTTTCAGTTATTGCATCATTAAAATATAGAGTGCTAGAACATTGCTTGCATGTATTGTACATTATTATATAATCATTTTGATGATACCACATTTTGAAGAGTTGCATAATATGACAAAATAAACCTTCTGTTCAAACATGTAATCTGAACAGAGCTACAGTCACAGGCTGGTTGGACTAGTTTCTTTTTTTTTGTCCATCTGGGAGAAGTTTAAACAACAATGTTGACTTCCAGCTTCTAATCCACCACACACACACACACACACACACACACACACACACACACACACATACACACACACATACATACAGAAAAAAAGAGGAAATGATGTCACTGCAAAAACACAATTAAAATGCTCTTTTAGCAAATCGATGACAAACATTAGCGGCAGTCGTCACACCTTCACTGACAGTTAATTTCCTCTTTGTGTAAGTGACAGTAAACACAGATTGCCCCAGCTCAGCACTGACCTGTGTGTGTGTGTGTGTGTGTGTGTGTGTGTGTGTGTGTGTGTGTGTGTGTGTGTGTGTGTGTGTGATGGGGTTTTTTGGCTGGTTACCTGTCCTATATTTCTGCAGAGGGGGCGGAGGGTTGATGAGTATAAAGAGATCGGGTGCAGAGACGTCTTCACAACAGCATCTGCTCACAGGTGAGGACACAGGGACAGATGCAAAAGACTCATTCAGCGCTTGAGTGTTTCATCACAGAGGTTTTATTTATTTTCTCTTTCTGTCTTCCAGGTGAAAACTCTGACTTCTCCTCGTTCTGAAAGGATTAAAGATCAATTTATCTCCAGGAAAGATGAAGCTCAACATCGCCACACTCTCTCTCCTCCGTCCTGCCGCCGCCATGCTTGTCCTTCTGCCACTGCTTCTGATTGGCTGGGCCAAGCAGGGGTCAGCGCTGCCTGTCGACCGGCCGCTCAGCCAGCCGCTGCGAAACCCGCAGACTTACCAGGCCGTCCGGGATGTTTCGCAACATGTGAGTGGTTCATTTAAAATATATGTCTTATACTGTAAAGTCAAATCCTGAATTCAAATGTTTGTTTTAACGTCAGATTTGACCTTTAAATCGGTGAAAGAAGAAGTATTCGGATCATTTACCAAAAAAAGTAGTAACACCACACTAGAAAAATAATTTACAACATGTACCTACAGTATTGTGTAATATTGGACTCATACGACTTCATGTCACAGCAACCTTTAACTGCTTTATGTTTTCTAAAATGTTCTAAAAATGTTTCCTATTTTATAAACTCATCATATGTTCAGTATGTAAACTAACAAGGAGCAAGAAGAACGATATTTGCCTCTGAAATGTAGTAAAGTAGAAGTATAAAGTAGGATAGAGTTGTAAAGTATATGAACCCTAAAACTGCCATTGAGTAAGTAGTCACATTCTGAATTTAATATACATGGTTTCAGATTTTATTACAAATTCTTATTTTATTTAGAGAATTTATTCATTATTTTACAATTAATTTTTAACAGAACTTCAAATTTAATGTCAGAAATCTAGTTTTAAATCTCATCATTTGTTGGCACCATTTTCACTCCGTAGCTCAAACCAGTGCTTCTCTTAAAGTAAATCCAGACGTTCAATTAATACAAGCTACAGTTAGAAAAAAACTAAATTATATTTTAGAGGCTTATCCCAGAATATTTATTTAGATCCAATATTTCATTTGTATTTAATCTCGGCTTCATAAAACAAGGAAAGAATTAAGGAACCAATATTTCTTCACCTGTACAGAAGAGCAGAGAAAGATTCCAACACTGATTGATTTTGTTGTGTTGGCACTAATCGTACTCTATCTGGATTATTGTTAGGAATCAAAACAGGAATAAATAAAGGGTTTTATACCCGACAGGTTGTAGCAGGGTTTGAACCAGCGTTTAGGCTCCAAAACTGACTAAAAAATTACAGGAAATACAGTGAAACAGTGTGAATAAATAAATGTAATGAATCCAAATAAGAAACATCTAATCTCCCTGTCTGTGTTTTCAGGCTCAGAGTCAGCAGACAGACGACGACTCCAGCTCCAGACTGATGCCCAGAGTCACTAACACTAACCAGGTGAGGATAGATAGAAAGATAGATAGATAGATAGATAGATAGATAGATAGATAGATCGATAGATAGATAGGTAGATAGATAGATAGATAGATAGATAGATAGATAGATAGATAGATAGATAGATAGATAGATAGATAGTTTAAGCTTTAAATTAAGTTTGGCAGCATGTGTTAAAATAAATAAATACTTAGAATATAAAAATACATTGTAAAATATTGCACACAGTTCAAGTTCTGACCTCTGACCTCTGACCTCTGAACTCTCCCAGGACCACCTGAAGATCTGCTGCCTCCACGCCAACATCCTCGACTTCTACCTGAACAACATCCTGCGTCACCGCGACAACCAGCATCCCAGCATGCACCGGCTGAAGACTGACCTGTCCCGCGTCAGCGAGGACCTGAAGACTCAAGGCTGTGTGAGTGTCGACCCGTTTCACCGTCTGTGCTTTTAAATAAAAGTCAAACTTTTCCTTTAATAATC